AATGCTGAGGAGATCTGAGACAGAGTTAATAAATCAAAATCCGAGCGAAGGCAACGACCTTTTGGAGATTTTTGTTTGGTCTAACCATAGTTCAGCTTCATCTTCTCTGCAAATCATGCCTGATATGAGGACTCCGGTTGATACTGTAAGAAGAATAATAAGAACTATGTGTTGCCACCGTTGACCTGGCATCGTGTTATTACATTCCAACAGCCGACATTGCAGTGGCATGTATAGAGCTTAAGATTAAATAGTATTCAGCTTTCATTTTTCCTGTGGATGGAAAAAACTGCTGTCAAATGACATTTCATCTTGTCAATAAAGATACTTTTCCACAACCCAGTATCCACACCAATCATTATGAAGCATAAGTAAACGAATGATTTCAGTTTATGAGAACCAAATTGACCAACCAAAAAATATGAGAAAACAAACTCACAGTCGGCTCTTCAATGTAACAGAACTAATATCAAAATCAGGGTCATCGTCCCTTGATTACAATGCGAATCATCATAAACTATAAATTTTTGCTTTGTGGAATGCAGTAGGAATGGACTGAATATATTGCTTTCAAAGCCATGTGTATGAATTTTTAAAGAAGAAACTTGACAGCAAGAAATTTTCTGTCCTTCTCGTCGTGGTCATTAGATCAAATTCAAGCCTGAATTTTGGAAGGAATTTCAGCTAGAGCTTTAAATATAATCTGCATAACAAAAAGCAGTTTCTCTCTAAGAATTGCCTCTTGAAGAACTAATTATCTGTTACCTTGAAATAATCAGGTGTCCAAGACTTCATAAAAACAGCCAGAATAAAGAAAAATAATGACTTCGTTACAGTGAGGCTACAATTATCATCTTATGCATCATTATATAACGCTGCATTTTCTCTAGTATTCCGCGAACCTGTGGTAAAACAGGAACATTAGTGGTTTTCTCTAGGGTAATGAGTCAATAGAAGGACTACTTTTGTTTTTAATCCTCTTGCACTGACAAACTGATAATAGCAGGTGACAATAGCTGGAGGAAAAGAAGCTCGATTAACTATTATCAGTATTCAGTGAAGAAGTTACAAGTAGCTGATGCTGCCTTAACGACAAGAGTTTAGATAAATGGCGAGAGAATAAGAGCAAACTCGCTCATATAGAACACAAATAATTCATGAAATAAAACAGTGAACGAATCATTCAAATGCAAACAACCAATCAACACAGATATTTAGTATGATATATACATCCACGCCAGTCAAAGTCTCACCTATCAGAATTCAGAGTGGCTGCAGAAGCGTCAATTCAGCATCAGCGACACCAAGAACAAGAGAAAAAAAAACACCCATACTTGATCAGTAAGTATTTGTCAGCTATAGGAAAACAACAAAAGATATGGATAAGATAAACTTCCAATTACCAGAAATCACCCCCCTTGATGTAAGACTTCTGCTACTGCATCTCATAAATTATTTTACCACAGCAATGGATGACATTTAGTACGAGCTGTGTAGGGTTCGAGGTCCATTTGCTTGACATATAGGCTGTTAGATAAATTCATGTTGAAAATAGATAAGAAGACAAAATATGCTTGCACTCTCTCCACAGGTTGCTGTAATTATTTCCAGTGATCTTACAACAGATGAACTATACCTTAAATATCATCAGGATGAGGCCATAATTAGTGAGCTGTGTGCAGCTGAAAATAAATTTTTGATGTATTCAACAAATTACAAATGAAATGTTTGAGTTATAATCTGTCAGATCCCGAAAATGACCCAAAAAAACATTTAACTACATTATGGTGGGACATTATAAATTCAAGTAGGCATTTTTATAGTATACTTAAAGCATCATATCAAGATAACAAAAACTTCATATTTATCCTATCAGGGAATCTATATAAAGCAAAAGAAGGGGCAAAAAATACACATGAACCAACTGGTTGATTTAGTTATCCAGGTAAAGCAGATTAGAAGTAGTTTTTTATCTCAAAGCACAGTATCTGCACTATCCTAGAAATGAAGATAACTACCAAGATCTCAATACATCTGAATACATCAGAAGAATCTTTTATTTCTCAATCAGTGAGTAGTTAGGACATATGAATCCCACAACTGCATCCATTAGCAGAGATAATCGGCATCCATTAGCAGAGATAATCGGCATCCATGCCTAAAGAAGAGAAGCCATAATACCAAATGAGATGTAAAATAATCACTCTACAGATGAGCCATGTGTCTTGTCATCACCTTGCATGGATAAATGTAAGCATTTTTATGAAAGCAATTTTATGACTGATTAAACAGATTACAATTGGATTTGCCATGTTGATATTAGAAGCATGCAGAAGATGAAATATGAAAATGCTTAACTACCTATCCGAACTTAAACTGATAAGTAAGGGCTTCACAATAGTATTGAAGCTATAACAGAAAGGATACAACTCAATAAGAATAAAAAATTAGCTAGATTCAAGAGAGAAAGAGAGAAGAGCTGATATTACAAGGGGCTGTCCTTAAGTTCCAACATTCAGATTCTTTAATCTATGCGGTGCAAAACAATGAAGCAATAAAAAAAATTATAACCTTCAAAGTGCAATCATCCACAATGATAACAAGCAAAACCATAATTGAAAATTCATACAGTAGTTGGGAAGAAAGAGAAAAAGAGCTTATGCATAGTCCAATGTAAATATAACCTCTTTAAGGTTGGTTTGAGGGAGACTGATCTCCAGACTTTTTCTCTATTTCATGAGATCTAACCGACTACCCAATTCATTTGGAGACAATTATATGATATTGATCTTCCAGTCACTCTTTCTCTCTTCCTGTAACTGCAGTCAGAAATCCTCCAAACTAAAATTAGTAAATCCAAAATAGTAAAATCAGTACTGAATTTGAATAATCCAGCTCATAAATCCGACTATCAGACATGAGAAGGATATTTTACCATATGCTGAAGCCCTCATCTTTTCAGACGAGAAAAGGAGAGAGACAGATCTTGAAATTGATTAGTAAGTGTGAAGAATTCATTTAACTCTAATGCCCCGACATCTATCTTCTATTTCATACATCTCTTGCTTATTGTGCTTCTTCCTGCCGTCTAAAGAAACTTCAAATTTAAATTTATTTAGTAGATGGAAAGTGAATATTCTTTTTTCCATAAAGTACATTAATGCAACCCAAATCTCATGCGTGAAAGAGAAATCACCTAAACGAAAAGGAAAGAATGCAAAAATATAGATAACAAAATGCACTTCGTCTAAAAAGTCTTTGACAAAAATAAATAAGAAATGAGAAGAGGATAAAGACTTTTACATACAAATAACTGTAAAAACATATCCTAAGGGTTGCAGCCCTATTCAATCCCTTCAAAATCCCTCCTATTCCATCCCAATTATACACAAGGGAACAACCCGGTATGCTTGTAATAGTAATATAAATGTGTAACATGATATAAAACAATCATATATCCATTTACTTAAATAAATACACAAAATAACACACACACTACGCCAATAACACAAAATTAACTCCTTCCCAGTTTAAGTGAACAAATAAAAAAACAAGAAATATCTCAAAATGCTTTTGTGATCAATGCCCAAAGAGAAGCAAGTAAATGGACTTTCTCCCACAAAATATGTATACTTCTTCACATCTTTCTTCTAAAATCCTTCTAATTCTTTCTTGCCAAATCATCTAGAAAGTAACCAAAATAGCACAACTCCATGGCCTTTTCTCCTTTACCAAAGCCATATAAGTGTTCTAAAAGAAAGGAACTACAAGAGGATGGAATGACTCACTTTAATTTTTGCTCCAGGATAAGTTTATACCATAAACTTAAAGAAAAACTACAGTACAAGAAAAGGTGATCAACACTTTTCATATTTCTTTAGCATGATACACAACAATAGAGGGGAAGATACCAGTTTCGAAACCTTGTTTGAATAACATTACCTAAATTGATTTCAGTAAAGAAAAGGCCCAAGCAATCATCTTGAATTTACAAGGCACTTTGGCCCAAGCAAGAATTTATGATATATGGGTGCTAATATAAGTTCGAAATGGAGATTGCATTCAATATGAAATCTTTATCTTAAATTTAGCGTAGTGACTGAAGAAGGTGACAGTAAGTTTTCCCTCATGGAAGAAAACAACAAAGTCTTCCTTATTAGTAATGAAGTATAGATCATTTGAGGTCCTTTTACTACCAAAATTAATTTTCCTAAATTTGAAATTTTAAAATGTAAACGTTCCATGGCGATACTGTCCCTGTTATTTTATATGATGTTTAGTCATCCTCAAGAAGGCAGGCTACAAAAAGAAAAAAAATGTTTCAAAGGTTACAGATCTAGAGCAAACAGTGACTAAGTGAATGTTGTACAATCAAAATAAATATTTGTCAGATTCCCACATAAACCGCCAAAGATATAATATCAATTCTAAGATAAGTTGCACATTCACTAATGAGTTCAAACTAAATCATCAAGAATAGCCAATTGGTCATAATTTGTAGATAGTCAGATCCAAACCAGTTCTAACTGTTTAAAACACGTACACACAGGAATTTTTACATTATGCAATTTTACCTTCCTACTATGCTAGACAAATTATTCCTGCAAAACTGTTTCTAGATTTACTAATCATTAGCTATAAGTTACAGAAAAAGATGAACATATGCAGTAACTGAAACAAAACTATACTACTGATACAACAAGGCAACCAAACATGGGTTTTCTTTCTTTCCCATCCCTTTTGATTGGTTGCTGTCAAGTGTGGTATTCTGCAATTCTGAAGGAGTACAAGCTCTAAGGGAGAATACCCTGCTGTGATCTTCATTCTTGTTTGGAGAAGATTTTTATCCTGATGGCAGCAAACTCATTAAACAAAGCCATGAGAGAGCACCCACTGCTTCACTGGTACTCAAGCAAAGATGTTTCCTTTTGGAGACACTTCGGAGCAGTAAATGTTAAATTAATAACACCTAGAAGGCATCAAAGTTTGGTCTAGAAACTTTATTCTTTGAGCGTACGTGTACAAATTTTCTCAAGGATCAATGGCCAGTCTTCTCCAAGCTGCTGTGGTTTCAGCCACATGGCAACCTTGAAGTCTAGCAAAGATGTCAGGAGATTATGTCTATGTTCACGCATTTCTCCCAAAGGCCTACTGTTACTTTGCATGTGAAAGTGATAACCTGGGATGAAAACACTATGCTTTGCGTGATTATGATACTTGCTTATATTTTTTGCCATCAAGTCATGCCCACATCTTGCTCCTACCGGTTCAATAGAAGACCTGATCAACCTCTTCAAGTATATATCCAGCCCAATGTTCAACAAATTAGCACAGTCCATTGATACGTCTTCAAGGCCTTCTGCTGCAGCAATCTGTTGCATGCGTTCCTTCAGTGTTTCAGTGTTGAGCAGTCCACCAGTATCATAGGAGCTAAAGCATCTACCAATGCTTGCTAAATGTGATGCCTGGCGGGCTCCACCCACACTAAACGAGCAAAGTGGTATTCCAAGTGGTGCTTGAATTGAACTTCTAGTGGATAACTCTATACCATCTCCAACTAATACTTCACTTTGTTCATTGCTATCTACAGATGGTAAACCATCTGCAGATGCTTTTTCTTTGGCAGGGTGACAAAGCCCAATTTCCCCTTCATTGTTTGTTTTCCTGGAGACAACTTGATGATGCTGCAACGGCTTCAGTATTTCATGACCCAAATCTCCATTTTCTAAAACTATATTATTACCTGTAATCGTTGATTGCCGAGAAAATTCGACCTTCCCATTAGAGATTCCCGATTGCGCCCCCCAAGGAGAAGACAACAAAACATCCCCATTTTCTTGATACCCATCACCGGTAAATCCAAGACCATCACCATCTTGAGTTGATCCAGAAGGTGGAACTTTTGCATTACAAGCATTTTTCAAAATTGAACGTATTAATTGATTATGAAGCGTAACATTCTCTCTCCCAATAACCCTCAAACAGAGCTTATTGAACTCAACTTTACTTAGCTTCAAACTCAACAACTTATTCAAATAAAAAAAATACAGCTTTGACCTATCCGACCCAAGTCTCTTTACTAATTGAGCTTTCAGCTCAGCAAGATTGAGCCGCGAGTGCAGCTGAGGCCGATGCATTTCTCACCACAAAGAACCCATAGATAACCACTCACAAACTACTAAATTACACTTCCCTTCACCCAAACCCGACTAAATCAGAGTTTTTGGACTTTTTCTTTTCAGGTCCAAAAAACCAATCCCGCTCACATTCAAATTGTACACACTACTAACTCTAACAAAACCCATCAATGCCAAAACCAAACCCTAAAAAAACAATCTTTTCAACAAGATTTCAAATTCCAATTCAACAGTGCCAACCCATAGCCATATTTACAAACTGAATCAAACCCATGTTGACAAAATAACCTCAATCTAAACCTACCAAAAACCCTCTCTTCTTATTCATATAATGAATCTAAAAGTAGAACAAAAAATTTACATGGATCACAATACGTCAAGAACTAACACTTAAAGCTCAGGTTTTTGCAATCAAACATGAAAGTTTGATATAACAGAGATTCTAGAGAGAGAAAATCGACGGGCTGACCTGTTCGGAGCTCAAGAAAGAGCAAGAAAAATTCCAACTTGTAGCTTCTTCTTCTCTTGCATTAAGTTAAGCTCCTTTCTTTTTTCCTTCTTCCTCTTTGCTTTCTCTCTCTAGAATTTTGCTTGAATTTTTATATCATTTGGAAGCCTTATATTTTGAGTGTAAAACAGAAGAATTATTGTGGGTTTTTATTGAATCAGAAGATTTTGAAGAAACAATACGAACCCTTTTTCTTCATCTTCCTGTGATTCTGTCTCTCTCCGCCTCTTTTTTTTATCTTTTATTTTTCATTTTTTGATATGGAAGATATATGTGTAACGGGCCAGACCCGAATTATTATGGGCCAAACCTACACAAATAGCGAAATAGACCACGGGCCGGGCTTGATATTTTAATGTTGGACAGTGATTTTTAAACCCCGTTTATTTTGTATTTAGTTAGACCCCATCTTCTATTTGCAAGGGGTTAAAAATGTAATTTTCTTTTTATATCTTTTTAGGATGCGTTTGGTTAAAGGCATGTTAGATTACTAAGAATATTATATTAATAGAAAGTTAGATTACCTTGAAAATTATTAGAAATTTTTAAGGAAATGTGTTTGGTTAGTTTGAATAAGTTGGTGGGTATGTTATATTAATATGTTTGGTTGACAGGAATAAATTGGTGGGTATGTTATTTAAATTACTAAATTACCCTCATTTTTAAATATTAATATAATATTATTTTTATTATTAATTTTTGAATAGTTTTTTAACCCCCACAATTTCAGATTTAGCTAAAACACCTTAGCTTATATAAAACTTTAATTTGTAACAAAATCACCCCCATCCACCCAAAGTCATTGTTGGTCGTTAGCCAGCACCGTCGCCCGTCGCCAGCCACCATCGTCAACTGTCGCCTAGAGTTGTTGGAAATCGCTGGGAGTATCTAGGAGTTGCCGATATGGCCGGAAACGATCATATTGGCGACTCCTAGCGACTCTCAGTGACTTCTAGAGGTGGTTGGCCAGCTACTAGTGGTGGTGGGCCTGGTGGCTGGGTGACAGTGATGGTCTGCAATTTGTTTCAAATATAAGGGCATTATTGCCCAAAAACTTAATTAAACAAGGCTAAATTGTAACGGTAGATTAATATAAATTGATTTTAAAATAAGGGCATTATTGTCCAAAAATTTTATTAATAAGAGATAAAATTATAACAAAAATAAAATTACCAAATAAGCTTACACTATTTAAGAAAATTGAGGTAATTAAATTACCTTTAATATTACCAACGGTAACTATTATTGGTATTGGAAGATTATCAGAATCTTATATTACTTAACAACCAAATATGGTAATAAAGTAATATGAGATGACATTATCTCAATAATCCTATAAAACCTCAAACCAGACGCACCCTTAAGCTATTATGAATTTATGATGCTCTAATACTTGGTGATTAACTCACACACCTAAAAGAATTGTTTGATATCCTAACGCGTCGTCGATATTTTTGTAACCCAAAAGGGTGGTCATTGATATGAGTCCTAATCTTAGGGATCACTTTATGATTAATTTCATTTAAATTCTTGGTTAAGCAGCTATGAAAAAACAGTGCATATGACCTAAATCCTTCGAGGTTGAGCTCATATAAACTGAGGGTATCGGCATCAGTTCAACTGTTTGGTATCCAATGGCAAGAGATGTCGATGATATATGTGAAACCAAAGGGTGTTCTCAAATGAGTTCAAAGCTTAGGGAATGTAAATATGTTATTTTTCCCAGAAAAAAAATGTATAGAAAGAATTGTACCAGTTTTTCTCTTCTCTAAATGGTGTTGATTTCTGCAGGTGGCTGGCCTTTGAAGCTTATGATGATGTACAAACTGTGATATCAAGATGTTCAGGTGATGTGGGAAATGCTGAGGAGATCTGAGACAGAGTTAATAAATCAAAACGAAGCGAAGGCAACGACCTTTTTGGAGATTTTTGTTTGGTCTAACCATAGTTCAGCTTCTCCTCTCTGCAAATAGCCTGATATGAGAGATTCCGGTTGATACTGTAAGAAGAATAATAATAACTATGTGTTGCCACCGTTGACCTGGCATCGTGTTATTACATTTCAACAGCCGACATTGCAGTGGCATGTATAGAGCTGTTAAGATTAATAGTATTCAGCTTTCATTTTTCCTGTGGATGGAAAAAACTGCTGTCAAATGACATTTTCATCTTTGTACATAAATGATATTTTCCACAACCCAGTATTCACACCAATCATATATGAAGCATAAGTAAACGAATGATTTCAGTTTATGAGAACCAAATTGACCAACCAAAAATATAGAAAACAAACTTACAGTGGCTCTCAAACGAATAAAAAAATATCAATATCAGGGTCATCGTCCCTTTGATACAATGCGAATTCATCATAAACTATAAATTTTTGCTTTGTGGAATGCAGGAGGAAGGGACTGAAATATATTGCTTTCAAGCCATGTTGTATGAATTTTTAAAGCAAGAAACTTGACAGCAGAAGCAAGATATTCAGTGAATTTGGAAGGAATTTCAGCTAGAGCTTAAATTATATCTGCTTAACAAAAAGCAGTTTACTCTCTAAGAATTGCCTCTTTGAAGAACTAATACTACTATTAGTGTCCAAGACTTCATAAAAACAGCCAGAAATAAAGAAAATATTATGACTTGTTACAGTGAGGCTACCAATTTCATCTTAGCATCATTATATAACGCTGCATTTTCTCTAGTATTCCGCTGAACTGTGGGTAAAACAGGAACATTAGTGGTTTTCTCTAGGGTAATGAGTCAAGTAGAAGGGGCTACTTTTGTTTTAATCCTCTTGCAGACAAAGATAGTAGCAGGTGACAATGCTGGAGGAAAAGAAGCTCCGATTAACTTATTATCAGTATTCAGTAGCAGAAGTTACAAGTAGCTGAGCTGCCTAAGACAGAGTTTAGATAAATGGCGAGAGAAAATAAGCAAACTCGCTCCTATAGAACCAAATAAATTCATGACATAAAACAGTGAACAATCATTTCAAATGCAAACAACCAATCAACACAGATTATTTAGTATGATATATTACATCCACGCCAGTCAAAGCTCCACCTATCAGAATTTCAAGTGGCTGCAGAAGCGTCAATCTCAGCATCAGCGACACCAAGAACAAGAGAAAAAAAAAACACCCATATTGAGGTAAGTATTTGTCAGCTATAGGAAAACAACAAAAGATATGGATAAGATAAACTTCCAAGTACCAGAAAATCACCACACTTGAGTAAGATTCTGCTACTGCATCTCATAATTATTCTTACCACAGATGGATGAACATTTTAGTACTGAGCTGTGTAGGGTTCGAGGTCATTTGCTTGACATATAGGCTGTTAGATAAATTCATGTGAACATAGATAAGAAGACAAAATATGCTTGCACTCTCCCCAGGGTGCTGTAATTATTTCCAGTGATCTACAACAGATAGAACTACCTTAAAATCATCAGATGAGGCATAATAGTGAGCTGTGTGCAGCTGAAAAAATTTGATGATTCAACAAATTACAAATGAAATGTTTGAGTTAATCTGTCAGATCCGAAAATGACCCAAAAAAACATTTAACTACATTATGGTGGGACATTATAAATTCAAGTAGGCATTTTTATAGTATACTTAAAGCATACATCAGATAACAAAAACTTCATATTTATCCTATCAGGGAAATATATAAAGCAAAAGAAGGGGCAAAAAATACACATGAACAATGGTTGATTTAGAATCCAGGAAAGCGATAGAATAGTTTTTTTCTCAAAGCACAGTATCTGCACTATCTAGAAATGAAGATAACTACCAAGATCTCAATACATCTGAATACATCAGAAGAATCTTTTATTTCTCAATCAGTGAGTAGTTAGGACATATGAATCCCACAACTGCACATCACATCTAGCAGAGATAATCGGCATCCATGCCTAAAGAAGAGAAGCCATAATACCAAATGATGTAAATAATCACTCTACGATGAGCCTGTGTCTTGTCATCACCTTGCATGGATAAATGTAAGCATTTTTATGAAAGCAATTTATGACTGATTAAACAGATTACAATTGGATTTGCCATGTTGATATTAGAAGCATGCAGAAGATGAAATATGAAAATGCTAATACCTATCCGAACTTAAACTGATAAGTAAGGGCTTCACAATAGTACTGAAGCTATAACAGAAAGGATACAACTCAATAAGAATAAAAAATAGCTAGATTCAAGGAGAGAGAAGAAGAGCTGATATTAAAGGGGCTGTCTAAGTTCCAACATTCAGATTCTTAATCTATGCGTGCAAAACAATGAAGCAATAAAAAAAAAATTATAACCTTCAAAGTGCAATCATCCACAATGATAACAACAAAACCATAATTGAAAATTCATACGTAGTTGGGAAGAAAGAGAAAAAGAGCTTATGCATAGTCAATGTAAATAAACCTCAAGGTTGGTTTGAGGGAGACTGATCTCCAGACTTTTTCTCTATTTCATGAGATCTAACACGACTACCCAATTCATTTGGAGACAATATGATATTGATCTCATTCAGTCACTCTTTCTCTCTCCTGTACTGCAGTCAGAAATCCTCCAAACTAAAATTAGTAAATCCAAAATAGTAAAATCAGTATGAATTGAATAATCCAGTCATAAATCCGACTATCAGACATGAGAAGGATATTTTACCATATGCTGAAGCCCTCATCTTTTCAGACGAGAAAAGGAGAGAGACAGATCTTGACAATGATTAGTAAGTGTGAAGAATCTTTAACTCTAATGCCCCACATCTATCTTCTATTTCCTACATCTCTTGCTTATGTGCTTCTTCCGCCTTAAAGAAACTTCAATAATTTAAATTTATAGTAGATGGAAAGTGAATATTCTTTTTTCCATAAATACATTAATGCAACCAAATCTCATGCGTGAAAGAGAAATCACCTAAACGAAAAGGAAAGAAGCAAAAAGAGAGATAACAAAATGCACACGTCTATAAAAGTCTTGACAAAAATAAATAAGAAAGAGAAGAGGATAAAGACTTTACATACAAATAACTGTAAAAACATATCCTAAGGGTGCAGCCCTATTCAATCCCTTCAAAATCCTCCTATTCCTTCCAATTATACACAAGGGAACAAACCGGTGATGCTTGTAATAGTAATATAAATGTGTAACATGATATAAAACAATCATATATCCATTTACTTAAATAAATACACAAAATAAACACACACACTACGCCAATAACACAAATTAACTCCTTCCCAGTTTAAGTGAACAAATAGAAAAACAAGAAATATCAAAATGCTTTTGTGATCAATGCCCAAAGAGAAGCAAGTAAAGACTTTCCACAAAATATGTATACTTCTTCATCTTTCTTCTAAAATCCTTCTAATTCTTTCTGCCAAATCATCTAGAAAGTAACCAAAGTAGCACAACTCCATGGCCTTTTCTCCTTTACCAAAGCCATATAAGTGTTCTAAAAGAAAGGAACTACAAGAGGATGGAATGACTCACTTTAATTTTTGCTCCAGGATAAGTTTATACCATAAACTTAAAGAAAAACTACAGTACAAGAAAGGTGATCAACACTTTCATATTTCTTTAGCATGATACACAACAATAGAGGGGAAGATACCAGTTTCGAAACCTTGTTTGAATAACATTACCTAAATTGATTTCAGTAAAGAAAGGCCCAAGCAATCATCTTGAATTTACAAGGCACTTTGGCCCAGCAAGCAGTTTATGATATATGGGTCTAATTAAGTTCGAAATGGAGATTGCATTCAATATGAAATCTTTATCTTAAATTAGCGTAGTGACTGAAGAAGGTGACAGTAAGTTTTACTCATGGAAGAAAACAACAAAGTCTTCCTTATTAGTAATGAAGTATAGATCATTTGAGGTCCTTTACACCAAAATTAATTTTCCTAAATTGGAATTTTAAAAGTAAACGTTCCATGGGATACTGTCCTGTGTTTTATATGATGTTTAGTCATCCTCAAGAAGCAGGCTACAAAAAGAAAAAAATGTTTCAAAGGTTCAGATCAGAGCAAACAGTGACTAAGTGAATTTGTACAATCAAAAAAATATTTGTCAGATTCCACATAAACCACCAAAGATATAATATCAATTCTAAGATAAGTTGCACATTCACTAAGAGTCAAACTAAATCATCAAGAATAGCCAATTGGTCATAATTGTAGATAGTCAGATCCAAACCAGTTCTAACTGTTTAAAACACATACACACAGGAATTTTTACATTATGCAATTTACCTCCTACTATGCTAGACAAATTATTCCTGCAAAATGTGTTCTAGATTTACTAATCATAGCTATAAGTTACAGAAAAAGATGAACATATGCAGTAACTGAAACAAAACTATACTACTGATACAACAAGGCAACCAAACATGGGTTTTCTTTCTTTCCCATCCCTTTTGATGGTTGTGCTCAAGTGTGGTATCTGCAATTCTGAAGGAGTACAAGCTTAAGGGAGAATACCCTCTGTGATCTTCATTGTTTGGAGAAGATTTTTATCATGATGGCAGCAAACTCATTAAACAAAGCCATGCGGAGAGCACCCACTGCTTCATGGTACTCAAGCAAAGTGTTTCCTTTTGGAGACACTTCGGAGCAGTAAATGTTAAATTAATAACACCTAGAAGGCATCAAAGTTTGGTCTAGAAACTTATCTTTGAGAGACGTGTACAAATTTTCTCAAGGATCAATGGCCAGTCTTCTCCAAGTGCTGTGGTTTCAGCCACATGGCAACCTTGAAGTCTAGCAAAGATGTCAGGAGTTATGTCTATGTCACGCATTTCCCAAGGCCTACTGTTACTTTGCATGTGAAAGTGATAACCTGGGATGAAAACACTATGCTTGCGTGATTATGTATGCTTATATTTTTTGCCATCAAGTCATGCCCACTCTTGCTCCTACCGGTTCAATAGAAGACCTGATCAACCTCTCAAGTATATATCCAGCCCAATGTTCAACAAATTAGCACAGTCCATTGATACTCTTCAAGGGCTTCTGCTGCAGCAATTGTTGCATGGTTCCTTCAGTGTTTCAGTGTTGAGCAGTCACCAGTATCATAGGAGCTAAAGCATCTACCAATGCTTGCTAAATGTGATGCCTGGCGGGCTCCACCCACACTAAACGAGCAAAGTGGTATTCCAAGTGGTGCTTAATTGAACTTTAGTGGATAACTCTATACCATCTCCAACTAAACTTCACTTTGTTCATTGACGGAATCATTTTAAAATTTTAAATTCTATTAGAAATAAATAATATTTTAAAAAGATTAAATTATTATTAATTTTAATTTATTCTTTGTATGATTACTTTTTTTAAATTGTTAGAACGTTTGAGATTTAATATATTTTTTTTTTTAATAGCATATGAAATCAACCCTAAATAAATTTAAAATTTAAAATTTAAATAATTATTATAATATGAACGTTAAAAAAAGATATATATTTGAAATGATAGAAAGAGTAAAACCGACCGCCCACCACAATCAAAAAGCAAGAATTGGGAGGTTTCGTATTCAAAATCTGACATCTTTAGAGGGTAAGTCAAATTGCTTTAACCAACAGAAAACGACAGCGGATTAATCAATTTTATACTGCCCCATTCATTTTATACCACGTGGTCCTATCTTTTAAAATATTGCCTCTCTTTTTTTGCACCATTTCTTATGGAGTGATGCTGGGTACTAATGGATGGATACTAATATTTGTACTAACTAAAGTATAGTATCCGTATTATACGTATAATATAAGTACTATGCTTTAGTTAATACACAGATTAGTACCCATTCATTAGTACCCAAAGTATTATTCTTTCTTATGTCAATCAAATTTGATATATTAATTATTTTAAATTAAATATATAATAATAATAATTAAGTAAAAATTAAATGAGTTTAAATTTGGATGGGTGGGTTTAAAAGATAAAAGAGAAAGTCAAAGGTGTGTCGCCTTCATCCCAAAAGAAAAAGAAAAAAAAAAAAGACCACCGCATTTAAATACATATACTGATATACATATACATATACGGTCACGTGTCGGTGGTGTTATTGATAATGAAATTATAACGGACACAACCCACCACCTTAAAACCTCCCCCCCACTCGATCTCCTTTTTCATCTTATATTTTAACTATCCTTCTTCTTCTTTCTCCTTCTACACTTTCTTCTCCCAAACTCACTAGTCACTGCCCTGGCTCTACTGCCATCGCTGCCTACCTATTGCGTGGCGGCTGGCGCGCTTTGAAGTTAACGGTCTGGCCGGGTTTAAGACTGTAGCTGTTCGACTTATCGGCGGAGGTGGAGGCGGCGGCAGTAATAATAGTAGTAGGAAGAAGAAGACGAAGAAGAAAACTAAAGTTAAAGATAAGTTCATGGAATTGTGGCACAAAATGATCTTCCCTGTTAAGCGAGTCTGGGTAGCCGTTTCTTCTCGTGTTAAGGCTCGCAAAAACGGTGCGTTTTATTACTCCTCATTCTTTGCTTCTTTATTCTGTTATCTTATCAAGATGGAATATTTTTTCTTTTTAAAAAAAAATAAAATTATGAAGAAAATGGAATTTCGCATTCATACAGATTCTCAATTTCTTGATATAATTTTTTTTTTTAATTTCTTATGAAAAATGATCCTTTATTTTTAATTTTATTAATATTTAATTGAATAATTTATTTGGTTCTGACCCATCTGGGCAGAATGTTAAGTCTTCTTTATAATTTCTTATTTTCATAGTGTTAATTATGTTTATTCATCAAATAATCAACATGATAATCATACTTTGTAAGAGTCTCAAATGTTTTAAAATTATAAAATTAAATGGGTATAATTAAAAATCACTCATTGATGTTTATTAAAGTTTCTTTCTATCCTAAATCTTGGAGAAGATGACATATTGTCTTTGTGTGGTTGCTTCATATTGGAGCAAATATTACTATTTACTTTTGGGAACTTTCATTTATATTTCTTCATATTTAAATATTAAAGACTTTGATTTTATCTCAATCTAAACATATATACCAGAGGAATATAAGAGTCTAATCACTTCAATGAGATATTTTTTCCCCCCATTTTAACTGTAACTTTAGAAGGAAATCTTGTATATAAAACCATTAAAATTATTACAAATAGTGTTTTCATTTTTCATAATTTTTAATTATTATATAAAATAGTTCTAAAGATTCCAATTATAGTGGACTTCATCCACACTAGCTTTCATCCACACAATGACAAAATAAACCTAATCTTTAGATTTATTAATTATCTGGGTTCATTCTAAAGTCTACAATAAAATATTGAATCTACAAATTTGACTACAATAAAACTTTGTTTTTATAATTTAATCTTTATCACTGAAAAAAGTATCTGGGTATTGTAGTTTGACCCCTAATCCACTAGAGAATTTTCCTGGTTTTGTTTATTGTGGAAGGAAGCATGGTTGGTGATAGAAAAGTGGAAAAGGAATATTATGAGAAACTGAAATTTTTTTAATTTGGTTTGTTTTAGATGCATTGCTTGCTTGCTTCACCGAAAGGTGAAGTGCTGAGATAGGAACAACATCTCTTTTAGTGTTTAACTTTATGCTTAAGTTAATTTAAGTAATGGTGTGATAATAACATCCACTAATCTTTCTTAATTACATCTTTTGAGCAGTCATTAACCTAAAGAGGTAATGGTCCACTGGGTGTCTTACCCATCAGGACCACTTCTTTGGCATCTGATACTTGGTGATTAACTCGACAACCTAAAAGAATTGTTTTGATATCGTAATGGCGTCGTCGATATTTTTGTAACCCAAAAGGGTGTCATTGATATGAGTCCTAATCTTAGGGATCACTTTATGATTAATTTCATTTAAATTCTTTGGTTAAGCAGCTATGAAAAACACAGTGCAAATATGACCTAAATCCTTCGAGGTTTGAGCTCATATAAACTGAGGGTATCGGCATCAGTTCAACTGTTTGGTATCCAAATGGCAAGAGATGTCGATGATATATGTGAAACCAAAAGGGTGTTCTCAAATGAGTTCAAAGCTTAGGGAATGTAAATGATGTTATTTTTTTCCCAGAAAAAAAATGTATAGAAAGAATTGCTTACCAGTTTTTCTCTTCTCTAAATGGTGTTGATTTCTGCAGGTGCTGGCCTTTTGAAGCTTCATGATGATGTACAAACTTGTGAATATCAAGATGTTCAGGTGATGTGGGAAATGCTGAGGAGATCTGAGACAGAGTTAATAAATCAAAATCCGAAGCGAAGACAACGACCTTTTTGGAGATTTTTTGTTTGGTCTAACCATAGTTCAGCTTCGTCCTTCTCTGCAAATCATGCCTGATATGAGAGACTCCGGTTGATACTGTAAGAAGAATAATAAGAATAACTATGTGTTGCCACCGTTGACCTGGCATCGTGTTATTACATTCCAACAGCCGACATTGCAGTGGCATGTATAGAGCTGTTAAGATTAAATAGTATTCAGCTTTCATTTTTCCCTGTGGATGGAAAAAACTGCTGTCAAATGACATTTTCATCTTTGTACATAAATGATATTTTTCCACAACCCAGTATTCACACCAATCATATATGAAGCATAAGTAAACGAATAAAAATTATGGTAACTGATTTCAGTTTATGAGAACCAAATTGACCAACCAAAAAATATGAGAAAACAAACTTCACAGTCGGCTCATTCAATGTAACAGAACTAATATCAATATCAGGGTCATCGTCCCTTTGAATCTACAATGCGAATTCATCATAAACTATAAATTTTTGCTTTGTGGAATGCAGTAGGAATGGACTGAAATATATTGCTTTCAAAGCCATGTTGTATGAATTTTTTAAAGCAAGAAACTTGACAGCAAGAAATTTTCTGTCCTTCTCGTCGTGGTCATTAGATCAAATTCAAGCCTGAAATTTTGGAAAGGAATTTCAGCTAGAGCTTTAAATATATATCTGCATAACAAAAAGCAGTTTACTCTCTAAGAATTGCCTCTTTGAAGAACTAATTCATCTGTTACCTTGAAATAATCAGGTGTCCAAGACTTCATAAAAACAGCCAGAAATAAAGAAAATATTAATGACTTCGTTACAGTGAGGCTTACCAATTTATCATCTTATGCATCATTATATAACGCTGCATTTTCTCTAGTATTCCGCTGAACCTGTGGTAAAACAGGAACATTAGTGGTTTTCTCTAGGGTAATGAGTCAAGTAGAAGGGACTACTTTTGTTTTTAATCCTCTTGCACTGACAAACTGATAATAGCAGGTGACAATAGCTGGAGGAAAAGAAGCTCCGATTAACTTATTATCAGTATTCAGTAGCAGAAGTTACAAGTAGCTGACGCTGCCGTAATGACAGAGTTTAGATAAATGACGAGAGAAAATAAGCACAAACTCGCTCATATAGAACGCAAATAAATTCATGACATAAAACAGTGAACAAATCATTTCAAATGCAAACAACCAATCAACACAGATTATTTAGTATGATATATTACATCCACGCCAGTCAAAGCTCTCACCTATCAGAATTTCACAGTGGCTGCAGAAGCGTCAATCTCAGCATCAGCGACACCAAGAACAAGATAAACAAAAAAAACACCCATATTTGATCGGTAAGTATTTGTCAGCTATAGGAAAACAACAAAAGATATGGATAAGATAAACTTCCAAGTACCAGAAAATCACCACACTTGATGTAAGATTTCTGCTACTGCATCTCATAAATTATTCTTACCACAGCGATGGATGAACATTTTAGTACTGAGCTGTGTAGGGTTCGAGGTTCATTTGCTTGACATATAGGCTGTTAGATAAATTCATGTTGAACATAGATAAGAAGACAAAATATGCTTGCACTCTCTCCACAGGTTGCTGTAATTATTTCCAGTGATCTTACAACAGATGAACTGTACCTTAAATATCATCAGGATGAGGCCATAATTAGTGAGCTGTGTGCAGCTGAAAATAAATTTTTGATGTATTCAACAAATTACAAATGAAATGTTTGAGTTATACTCTGTCAGATCCCGAAAATGACCCAAAAAAACATTTAACTACATTATGGTGGGACATTATAAATTCAAGTAGGCATTTTTATAGTATACTTAAAGCATCATATCAAGATAACAAAAACTTCATATTTATCCTATCAGGGAATCTATATAAAGCAAAAGAAGGGGCAAAAAATACACATGAATCAACTGGTTGATTTAGATATCCAGGTAAAGCAGATTAGAAGTAGTTTTTTATCTCAAAGCACAGTATCTGCACTATTCTAGAAATGAAGATAACTACCAAGATCTCAATACATCTGAATACATCAGAAGAATCTTTTATTTCTCAATCAGTGAGTAGTTAGGACATATGAATCCCACAACTGCATCCATTAGCAGAGATAATCGGCATCCATTAGCAGAGATAATCGGCATCCATGCCTAAAGAAGAGAAGCCATAATACCAAATGAGATGTAAAATAATCACTCTACAGATGAGCCATGTGTCTTGTCATCACCTTGCATGGATAAATGTAAGCATTTTTATGAAAGCAATTTTATGACTGATTAAACAGATTACAATTGGATTTGCAATGTTGATATTAGAAGCATGCAGAAGATGAAATATGAAAATGCTTAACTACCTATCCGAACTTAAACTGATAAGTAAGGGCTTCACAATAGTACTGAAGCTATAACAGAAAGGATACAACTCAATAAGAATAAAAAACTAGCTAGATTCAAGAGAGAAAGAGAGAAGAGCTGATATTACAAGGGGCTGTCCTAAAGTTCCAACATTCAGATTCTTTAATCTATGCAGTGCAAAACAATGAAGCAATAAAAAAAAAAATTATAACCTTCAAAGTGCAATCATCCACAATGATAACAAACAAAACCATAATTGAAAATTCATACAGTAGTTGGGAAGAAAGAGAAAAAGAGCTTATGCATAGTCCAATGTAAATATAACCTCTTTAAGGTTGGTTTGAGGGAGACTGATCTCCAGACTTTTTCTCTATTTCATGAGATCTAACCGACTACCCAATTCATTTGGAGACAATTATATGATATTGATCTTCCAGTCACTCTTTCTCTCTTCCTGTAACTGCAGTCAGAAATCCTCCAAACTAAAATTAGTAAATCCAAAATAGTAAAATCAGTACTGAATTTGAATAATCCAGCTCATAAATCCGACTATCAGACATGAGAAGGATATTTTACCATATGCTGAAGCCCTCATCTTTTCAGACGAGAAAAGGAGAGAGACAGATCTTGAAATTGATTAGTAAGTGTGAAGAATTCATTTAACTCTAATGCCCCGACATCTATCTTCTATTTCATACATCTCTTGCTTATTGTGCTTCTTCCTGCCGTCTAAAGAAACTTCAAATTTAAATTTATTTAGTAGATGGAAAGTGAATATTCTTTTTTCCATAAAGTACATTAATGCAACCCAAATCTCATGCGTGAAAGAGAAATCACCTAAACGAAAAGGAAAGAATGCAAAAATATAGATAACAAAATGCACTTCGTCTAAAAAGTCTTTGACAAAAATAAATAAGAAATGAGAAGAGGATAAAGACTTTTACATACAAATAACTGTAAAAACATATCCTAAGGGTTGCAGCCCTATTCAATCCCTTCAAAATCCCTCCTATTCCATCCCAATTATACACAAGGGAACAACCCGGTATGCTTGTAATAGTAATATAAATGTGTAACATGATATAAAACAATCATATATCCATTTACTTAAATAAATACACAAAATAACACACACACTACGCCAATAACACAAAATTAACTCCTTCCCAGTTTAAGTGAACAAATAAAAAAACAAGAAATATCTCAAAATGCTTTTGTGATCAATGCCCAAAGAGAAGCAAGTAAATGGACTTTCTCCCACAAAATATGTATACTTCTTCACATCTTTCTTCTAAAATCCTTCTAATTCTTTCTTGCCAAATCATCTAGAAAGTAACCAAAATAGCACAACTCCATGGCCTTTTCTCCTTTACCAAAGCCATATAAGTGTTCTAAAAGAAAGGAACTACAAGAGGATGGAATGACTCACTTTAATTTTTGCTCCAGGATAAGTTTATACCATAAACTTAAAGAAAAACTACAGTACAAGAAAAGGTGATCAACACTTTTCATATTTCTTTAGCATGATACACAACAATAGAGGGGAAGATACCAGTTTCGAAACCTTGTTTGAATAACATTACCTAAATTGATTTCAGTAAAGAAAAGGCCCAAGCAATCATCTTGAATTTACAAGGCACTTTGGCCTAAGCAAGAGTTTATGATATATGGGTACTAATGTAAGTTCGAAATGGAGATTGCATTCAATATGAAATCTTTATCTTAAATTTAGCGTAGTGACTGAAGAAGGTGACAGTAAGTTTTAACTCATGGAAGAAAACAACAAAGTCTTCCTTATTAGTAATGAAGTATAGATCATTTGAGGTCCTTTTACAACCAAAATTAATTTTCCTAAATTTGGAATTTTAAAAAGTAAACGTTCCATGGTGATACTGTCCCTGTTAGTTTATATGATGTTTAGTCATCCTCAAGAAGGCAGGCTACAAAAAGAAAAAAAATGTTTCAAAGGTTACAGATCCAGAGCAAACAGTGACTAAGTGAATATTGTACAATCAAAACAAATATTTGTCAGATTCCCACATAAACCACCAAAGATATAATATCAATTCTAAGATAAGTTGCACATTCACTAAAGAGTTCAAACTAAATCATCAAGAATAGCCAATTGGTCATAACTTGTAGATAGTCAGATCCAAACCAGTTCTAACTGTTTAAAACACATACACACAGGAATTTTTACATTATGCAATTTTACCTTCCTACTATGCTAGACAAATTATTCCTGCAAAACTGTTTCTAGATTTACTAATCATTAGCTATAAGTTACAGAAAAAGATGAACATATGCAGTAACTGAAACAAAACTATACTACTGATACAACAAGGCAACCAAACATGGGTTTTCTTTCTTTCCCATCCCTTTTGATTGGTTGCTGTCAAGTGTGGTATTCTGCAATTCTGAAGGAGTACAAGCTATAAGGGAGAATACCCTACTGTGATCTTCATTCTTGTTTGGAGAAGATTTTTATCATGATGGCAGCAAACTCATTAAACAAAGCCATGCGAGAGCACCCACTGCTTCAATGGTACTCAAGCAAAGCTGTTTCCTTTTGGAGACACTTCGGAGCAGTAAATGTTAAATTAATAACACCTAGAAGGCATCAAAGTTTGGTCTAGAAACTTTATTCTTTGAGCGAACGTGTACAAATTTTCTCAAGGATCAATGGCCAGTCTTCTCCAAGCTGCTGTGGTTTCAGCCACATGGCAACCTTGAAGTCTAGCAAAGATGTCAGGAGATTATGTCTATGTTCACGCATTTCTTCCAACGGCCTACTGTTACTTTGCATGTGAAAGTGATAACCTGGGATGACACCACTATGCTTTGCGTGATTATGGTACTTGCTTATATTTTTTGCCATCAAGTCATGCCCACATCTTGCTCCTACCGGTTCAATAGAAGACCTGATCAACCTCTTCAAGTATATATCCAGCCCAATGTTCAACAAATTAGCACAGTCCATTGATACATCTTCAAGGCCTTCTGCTGCAGCAATCTGTTGCATGCGTTCCTTCAGTGTCTCAGTGTTGAGCAGTCCACCAGTATCATAGGAGCTAAAGCATCTACCAATGCTTGCTAAATGTGATGCCTGGCGGGCTCCACCCACACTAAACGAGCAAAGTGGTATTCCAAGTGGTGCTTGAATTGAACTTCTAGTGGATAACTCTATACCATCTCCAACTAATACTTCACTCTGTTCATTGCTATCTACAGATGGTAAACCATCTGCAGATGCTTTTTCTTTGGCAGGGTGACAAAGCTCAATTTCCCCTTCATTGTTTGTTTTCTTGGAGACAACTTGATGATGCTGCAACGGCTTCAGTATTTCATGACCCAAATCTCCATTTTCTAAAACTATATTATTACCTGTAATCGTTGATTGCCGAGAAAATTCTACCTTCCCATTAGAGATTCCCGATTGTGCCCCCCAAGGAGAAGACAACAAAACATCCCCATTTTGTTGATACCCATCACCGGTAAATCCAAGACCATCACCATCTTGAGTTGATCCAGAAGGTGGAACTTTTGCATTACAAGCATTTTTCAAAATTGAACGTATTAATTGATTATGAAGCGTAACATTCTCTCTCCCAATAACCCTCAAACAGAGCTTATTGAACTCAACTTTACTTAGCTTCAAACTCAACAACTTATTCAAATAAAAAAAATACAGCTTTGACCTATCCGACCCAAGTCTCTTTACTAATTGAGCTTTCAGCTCAGCAAGATTGAGCCGCGAGTGCAGCTGAGGCCGATGCATTTCTCACCACAAAGAACCCATAGATAACCACTCACAAACTACTAAATTACACTTCCCTTCACCCAAACCCGACTAAATCAGAGTTTTTGGACTTTTTCTTTTCAGGTCCAAAAAACCAATCCCGCTCATATTCAAATTGTACTCACTACTAACTCTAACAAAACCCATCAATGCCAAAACCAAACCCTAAAAAAATAATCTTTTCAACAAAATTTCAAATTCCAATTCAACAGTGCCAACCCATAGCCATATTTACAAACTGAACCAAGCCCATGTTGACAAAAATAACCTCAATCTAAACCTACCAAAAACCCTCTCTTCTTATTCATATAATGAATCTAAAAGTAGAACAAAAAATTTACATGGATCACAATACGTCAAGAACTAACGCTTAAAGCTCAGGTTTTTGCAATCAAACATGAAGGTTTGATATAACAGAGATTCTAGAGAGAGAAAATCGACGGGCTGACCTGTTCGGAGCTCAAGAAAGGGCAAGAAAAATTCCAACTTGTAGCTTCTTCTTCTCTTGCATTAAGTTAAGCTCCTTTCTTTTTTCCTTCTTCCTCTTTGCTTTCTCTCTCTAGAATTTTGCTTGAATTCTTATATCATTTGGAAGCCTTATATTTTGGGGTAAAACAGAAGAATTATTGTGGGTTTTTATTGAATCAGAAGATTTTGAAGAAACAATACGAACCCTTTTTCTTCATCTTCCTGTGATTCTCTCTCTCTCCGCCTCTTTTTTTTATCTTTTATTTTTCATTTTTTGATATGGAAGATGCATGTGTAACGGGCCGGACCCGAATTATTATGGGCCAAACCTGCACAAATAGCGAAACAGACCACGGGCCGGGCTTGATATTTTAATGTTGGACAGTGTTTTTAACCCCCATTTATTTTGTATTTAGTTAGACCCCATCTTCTATTTGCAAGGGGTTAAAAATGTAATTTTTTTATATCTTTTTAGGGTGTGTTTGATTCAGAGAATGTTAGATTACTAGGATTGTTATATTAATGGAAAGTTAGATTACCTTGAAAATTACTAGGAATCTTTAGGGAAATGTGTTTGGTTAGTTTGAAAGAGTTGGTGGGTATGTTATATTAAAATGTTTGGTTGGGAAGAATAAATTGGTGGGCATGTTATATTAATATGTTTGGTTGGGAGAAATAAATTGGTCGGTATGTTATTTAAATTACTAAATTACCCTCATTTTTAAATATTAATATATTATTATTTTTATTATTAATTTTTAAATAATTTTTTTTAACCCCCAACATTTCAGATTTAGCTAAAACACCCTAGCTTATATAAAACTTTAATTTATAACAAAATCACCCCAAGCCATTGTTGGTCGTTAACTAGCACCGTCGGCCACCGCCTTCTGCCGCCAGCCACCATCACCGACCATCGCCTAGAGTTGTTGGAAATCGCTAGGAGTATCTAGGAGTTGCCAATCTGGTTGTTTCCGACCATATCGGCAACTCCTGGTGACTCTCGATGACTTCTAGAGGTGGTTGGCCAGTTACCAGTAGTGGTGGTCTGCAATTTGTTTTAAATATAAGGGTATTATTGTTCAAAAACTTAATTAAACAAGGCTAAATTGTAATTGTAGATTAATGTAAATTGATTTTAAAATAAGGGTATTATTGTCCAAAAATTTTATTAATAAGGGGTAAAATTATAACAAAAATAAGATTATCAAGTAATCTTACACTATTTAAGAAAATTGAGGTAATCAGATTACTTTCAATATTACCAACAGTAACTATTATTGGTATTGGAAGATTATCAGAATATTATATTACTTAACAACCAAACATAATAATAAAGTAATATAAGATGACATTACCTCAATAATCTTATATAACCTCCAACCAAACGCACCCTTAAGCTATTATGAATTTATGATGCTCTAAAGATACAAAAAAAAAAAAAAAAAAAAAAATTTACTTTTTGTGGAAGGGAATATTGATATTTAAGATGAAAATTGATTGTGTTTAATATGATAAAATAATAGTTTATAATAGAATTAATATTTGATCAACCAAACTATGTTAACGAAAATTTTTAAGAAAATCCCATTAAAATTGCTGCTTATATATGGTAGCTTCCATCAAAGGAGGCATTGCTTTATGATATTTTCTTGGGTAAGAAGAATTTTGTTGAATAGAATAATTTGTAGAAAATGCTACACTTAAAACCTCTTTTTATAAATTTTCTCTCACAACATAGTTCATAATTAGTCAGTTCCATCAACCACAAATTCTATTGTTGTGTTTATGACTGGACTTGATGGCACAAGGTTATAGTTGTCCTAGCCCCGATACAGTATGAGTTTATTTATTTATAATATTTTTTTTTGGCTCTTTCTTGTTATCTTCGTATTAATAAATGGTAAGTATTGACAAATTTTAAATGGGAAACATATTTCATCCTGTCTGATCTTTTACCCACACTAAACCATTATGTCCCAAATCTTGAAACCAGCTATCATTGTATAATAATTACTAATTTTTTTTTAATCCAAATTCACTTTATTTTTATTTGAAGAGCACGCCGACATATTCCCACCGAGGTTTGTCGAATTGACAAGTTTCTACCCCTAGTTTTATCAATTTCATATTTCCATCCTTAAATTAATAGAATATCGTTTAATATAACAGTTAAAAAATAAAGTGGTCATTTGCTCTGTATTAAATCTAAAACAAATCCCACACATGCACGATTGTCATCTCAAGTAAATCTAGTCTAATTTCAACGTCATCGACGCTGTTGGGCTCTAAGGGAAGGCACTGGCCGAATTGGCTTGGCCTTTTGTCAAACAAGTGGTGTGCCAATTCAAGATTCCCGATCTCCAATGCCGATTCAAAACAAATCCAATCAACCTGCAATCATCAAAGTCAAACTCCAATCGAACCTAAAAATCAACAAATTCGCAAAAGCCTAAGGGAGGTAGCAAACGACAAACGGTGAGCAACCATCGTCAAGGTTGATGGGGCTTTGGTTGGGAGGAGTCGATGATGCAATTGGTGGTGTTAGGAAAGATTTCCAATGCAAGGAGCGACCGAAATTTGGGTGGAAAGCCGCCACAATCACACAAAACCCTAACAGCGTGATTCCGACAATCGACAAGCAATTGAGGTTCGAGGTGCTGGTGGAGAGAAAAGTGGGGTTAGGGCCAATTTTCAACGTCGGGATCAATCAAAAAAGACTTGGAAGCACATGGACCAAAAGAGGGTGATGGTTAACGATTAGTGGCCCTATGAGATAGGGGTGACAAGGGCTTTGATGTATAGGTTGAGAGGAGTACGATGATGGAGTCAAGAGGTTCAAACAATGTCGAAACAGGTCGAAATGGCAAGAGGCGACCGTTGCTCACAGGTGTTGTGGGTGTGATAAGGGTTATTTTTATAATTCTATTAATTAGGGGTTATAAAAATAATTTATTAATTTATTTGTCCAGGACAATATAGTAATAACACTCTCCACACCTGTGTCAAAACCTAAAAATCGATAATGGTGTTGGTTTAAGGGTCTAAAATCTAGAATTTATAAAATCAAGGATGGAAACTTGCCATGTCACCAAACCTTGGGTGGGAACTGATATATGAATCAATCATTATACTAAAGATGCCCAACTTTCAGCATGTCTCTGACAATCCCAAGCAAAAATGGGAATTTATTTACCAAAAAAAAAATTGAAAAAAGAAAAAAACGAGTTAAAGAAAGAAATCTGGTAAAAACAGTTAACACAAAATTTTAATTGAAAATATAAACTGCAAACTTTAATTACATATAGGACCAGAAATATAAATTGTTTTTTTTTTTTTTTTTTTCCTCATGTCTAAATGCTTCACCAGAGGTAAAATTCCCACCATTTCACAAAGAACAAAAAAATAGACAATAAATATCTAAACTAAAAGACAATAATTTTCAATTTTAATCATTTAAATGAAAAAGAAAAGAAAAGAAATATATATATATATAACCTAAATGCTTATCATTCTTCTCTTCTTCATTTTCTTCTTCAGTAGGTAGAAGGCCAAGACATTTACAATATACTAAAGACCTCTTTCTTAACTGCCTCTTTTTTTGACTTTCCCTTAGAACTCTGCCTTCCAAAAAAAACCTGGCAAGAATCCCCTGATTGCAACGAGATGCATGATGCCAAACAAGTACCTATAGTAAATTTTGACATTCGAAACAAACATATTTCAACCTCGATATTAAGATTCCATGAAAGCAGGAATTAGTATGGTTAGTAGAGAAAGACATATCAAGTTCTAACCTCAAGAAACGACATGCAACCTCATTTTTCATAAATTGTTTTGTTTATACAACAAATTCATACAAACAGGTGTAATTATAACGTTCAGTGTCAGTAAAGTACCTGTAGGTGGAACGCGCCACTAAGAACCCCATAATTTAATCACTTTGGAATACTTTTTTTGGATCGAGTTGTCCACTACAGTAGCTCGAAGGAACAGTAGAGATCTCCTGTCTTCCTCTCCACTCTTCACCAGGTTTCAGCACAATTGGCTTTTCCACACATGCGGCTTCTACACACAGCATATGTTTGTACTCTTCATCACCAAAGTCAGTCATTGCCTTTGCTTTCTTATCCCATGGATTCCAGACCACTGCAGAGGAAAAGAAATACATGAACTGCCACTAGAAGCAACGGTGTTTCACAAGAATGTGCAACAAACTTCAGACACTAAATTAGAACCAAAAGAAAGAGTAGGAAAAAAATTGAGATAAGACATAAGAGTTCCAGTAATGCAGAGGTATTTGTTTGTCAAACCATTTATAATCATGATAACGCAGTTTGGGGCATTACACTAACATTCATCAAAAACATCAGCAATAATTTGTCATATCCCTGCATGATTTATTAGCTCACCAGTAGTGCACCCATTTCCTTTTTAGTAAGAAATTGTATATAATGAAGGTAGCATATCAATCTAACATTGCCCTTCCTTTTTTAACCATGAAATATTTTGTCTCCTCACTGTGATCTAACTTGCATGCATAAATACATTCAAGGAGAACTGAGAAACTGATGAACCATGTGGCCCTTGCTAACTCACCAGCATCTGGAAGTCCATCTTTCCGCAACACAAAAGTACGCTTCCTCTCATGGTCCAGAATAGCAATTTTTGTAGGTGTACTCAGATATATCTTGTCTACCTTTACCAAAAAAATAAGTACCACAATTAATGACAACAGAAACAAAAAACAGAACTAAAAAGGAAGAGTAATGTTATTGCATCCCCTTGTTCAAGCAGTTAGAACGGACACTAACTTCTGATTCAAATGTTATTGCATCCCCTTGTTCAGTAAATCGCTCTTTACCCTTCAAGTTGTCCAGATAATCCAGTGTCTCTAATCCTTCTACCCGCACTTCACTAAAAAAAATAAAACAATAAAAAGAAATTGCAACATGGAAGTTAGGTTGGCAAAGTACATCATCAATTGACAAAAACTATATACAAAGTTAGGTCATCTCTACCATTGACTATGAGAGGGCCCGAGTAGAATTCAAACATGAATTTAGACAAATTTTTTTTTATAAAACCCCTGACAATTACAAATTAAAATTCTAATGGATTCTTTTTTATAGCAAAAAATATTAAGTTCAATTAATAATCCGAAATACAACATTTTTTTTTTTTTTTCCTTGGTAACCATCTGTACCATTCTCTAGCCACCACTGGTGCACTACTGCCCACCTCTAACACACAGTTCTCTCCACATTGCCTAAGCTATCACTTTCAGACTCATTTCTCTTCCTAAAGATATATCTGATCTATGTTTATATATAAGTCTAAAGAGATAAAACATTTTCTGCACAAAAGCATCCATCATAGATCATGAAGTAAAGGTCATGAAACCTTAGAATCATAGAAAGATTTAAATTAAAGCAATTGAGTTCATACAAATTTTTGTGGTTGTTGATATCAAAGATCATAAATACAAGAGTGAAAATTATATGACAAAAAATTAAAAGAAAAAAGGTTAATGAAGATGACACCTAAAACCGAGTCAGCATTCATAAGAAAACTCCCCCCTATCTCAGCTATAGAATCATTGTTGCATATGTTCATTCATGAGTCATACTGTCATAATTTTATCTGAAAATGTAATATTTTAGTTGCTACAATAAAAACCAAAAGTAAGGGAAAATAAGAATTACAGCTGCATAAAAAAGGTGCAAAAATCTTTATATGTAACAAATTTGCAGTTACTGGATGGGTTTTTAATGTTCATTTTGACCAGTATTATACAGTACTCTGCATGATGCAAAAAGCACATTACCCTCAAGTTACAGAGATAAAATTGTCAAGGAAATTACAGAAAGTATCTATAAAGGATCATTGCAAAAAGCAACATATTTTAAATGAAAGAGAATTCATGATAGAAATTTAAAAAATTCTCTATATTTTAGCATTATGTTGTCAAAAAATAGCATCCACCTTACTGCTTTTGACAACCTCTACCCATATTTTGATTTCCCACAAAACTTATCAATTCATATATCTAGATATAAACACCAAATAATTAACAATATTTCTAACCATAAAGATGGGGCAGAAATTCATGACATTAATTAAAGATCAAGACCATTGAAAACATTCATCATTTTGAAAAGCAAAACATATAGCAGGATGTAAATGACAATTTCAACCACTCTGCAATATATTAAAATGACTTGAGAAAAAAAAAAAATCAAAAGATAGGTAAAAAGAAAAGCCATTAGAAAACCTGATATCTGAAACAGCAAAATAGGTGTGATAGGCAAATGTAAACGCAAATGATTTTCCATCAGTGTTTGTATTTCGAATGCGAGAAGTCAACATCAAATCTCCTCCAGGTCCAAGGGTTATCCTCAGGCGAAACTCATATCTGCAAATAGTGGTCACCTATCACATTTCAACACTTAAACACAGAAGCAGAATGCAAAAGTATAAAGATATATGTGTATCTACAAGCATACGCATACACACAATTAAAATGTTTTTCAAGCTCTCAATTCACTTCATATAATAGATAATTATTCCATGAAAACACACATTTTCCATAGGCAGGAATAGATGAACTTAATTCCCTACATCACATAAATCATTTAAGAAACATAAATGAATATGCAAGAAGCCTAAAAACAAATTTCTATATATTCAAACTGAATTGATTTGTAACTTTCAAATTTGAGTTATGCACCTGTGAGGCCAGATCTTTGCATCTTCTTCAGAGTGCTTAAGGATTAAATCAATGAAGGCCCTGTTGGAAGTATTTGTTGGAAATGGCGGGGGATCATCATCAATGCTCCACATCCTGTTCCTTGCAAATCCATGTTGTTCCAGAGAACCATGACTTCCAAACTGCAGATAGAAAACTACACATCAAGTGGAAAGTAAAAAAATAAATAAAATAAAGAAATTGAAAAAATAAATACATAGTTAAGTGAAGCACATACTTGAGGAAAGCAGATTGGAATACCTCCACGAATAGCCTTTGGAAGTTTAAAAGTAGCCTGAAAAGGTTCAATATATGTTACAAAAGATAAAAAATATAGTAGAGTTTCTACTATGATGTAAAATTCAGCAGATATCTTTCCTAGCAATTGATGCCAGTGATCATATACTGAACACCATCCTAATACATTCGTGCAACACTAAACTACATTAATAAATAACCATTACAATAGAGCTTCTTTTTCTTCTTTTTCCATGTGAGAGAATTGTTTGATACATGGTGACTAAAATTGAGATGGAGTTTTTGAATATTTTGATATATGGTGATTTGAGTATAGATTTTTACTGCAGCGTGTTTATAGCTGGCTTTTTGTTTGGTCAATGTTTTTGGGCATTCCTTGAAATTGTTTTGGATTGATTTTCTAATTTCACAGGATAAACCTTCTTTAGTGGACCTTGTTCACTTTTGAAAAGTTACTTTCATAAGTGTACAAATTTCAATCTTTCTTATTGCAAGAGAGAGGTAAAAGTAAAGACATCATCATTTGTAGCATACGCCCATATAATATGTTTATAGTTACTTCTGCAGTCAAATGGCAACCTAGAGTTCTGGATACGATAGGGCATACAAATTAGATGCCTTGCAGAGATATGCACATCAAGGCAGGCAGCAAGTGAGCTAAAATGAATGTTCATGTTAATCGAATAAATTATAAATTCCTCCAGTATGTGGATGCAAAAATATCAAAGAAAAAAAAATGAAAAGCTGATAAAAGGCAACTACATAGAGATGTAACTATAAAGAGATGTAGAATGGGAAAAATAACAAATCTAATACTCTATCCCTTTTAGTCAATCCTATACTTTTTTTGAGTCTAACTATGTAATGAACCTCCGGTGGTTATCCTACACTATAAATTAAAATAATTAATAACTGCAATCATGTAATGTCACTAAATCAAGAGCTTTCATGCTTGCGTCTACATATTTACACATTAAGATCAGAAGGGCACATGGGCACATAAGCAGTGTGTTAGAGGTGAGTCCTTGTGGCTTAATTTAGTTAACCAATTCAAACCTTGTGAACAAGTAGATGTCATATCTGTTTCCCAAAAAAGTAGGTAATCACTAACACATCAGCTGCATTAACTTTTGTACACGTGCATGATATCACAATGTATCTCGTAAATAATTTCTACCACTTGTTTTCTTAAGAAGTTAGTCTAACATTCATTACCTAAATAGTATACAGAACAGGAACAAGTAAAACTATTCCTTATCACAACAGCTAGAGCATTATACCAAAGCTAAATTTATAATTTCATTTTGGTTGTTAAAACTGAGCAGGTTCTATGTATAGAAGTACCTTGCTACTAACAAAAAGCAATTCTTCTCCATATTCATTCTTCCAAGATGTTACTTGTCCTCCGTAGAGATATACCTGTATTTGACCAAAGCCACAGTGTTTCACAAGAATGTGCAACAAACTTCAGACACTAAATTAGAACCAAAGAAGATAGGAATTGAGATATGACATAAGATTTCCAGTAATGCAGAGGTATTTGTTTGTCAAACCATTTATAATCATATAACGCAGTTTGGGGCATTACACTACATTCATCAACATCACAATATTTGTCATATCCCTGCATGATTTATTAGCTCACCATAGTGCACCCATTTCCTTTTTAGTAGAATTGTATATAATGAAGGTAGCTATCAATCTAACATTGCCCTTCCTTTTTTAACCATGAAATTTTTTTCTCCTCACTGTGATCTAATTTGCATGCATAAATACATTCAAGGAAACTGAGAAACTGATGAACCATATGGCCCTTGCTAACTCACCAGCATCTGGAAGTCCATCCTTCCGCAACACAAAGTACGCTTCCTCTCATGGTCCAGATAGCAATTTTTGTAGGTGTACTCAGATATATCTTGTCTACCTTTACCGAAAAAATAAGTATCCGCAATTAATGACAACAGAAACAAGAACAGAACTAAAAGAAGAGTAATGTTATTGCATCCCCTTGTTCAAGCAGTTAGAACGGACACTAACTTCTGATTCAAATGTTATTGCATCCCCTTGTTCAGTAAATCGCTCTTTACCCTTCAAGTTGTCCAGATAATCCAGTGTCTCTAATCCTTCTACCCGCACTTCACTAAAAAAGATAATACAATAAAAGAATTGCAACATGAGTAGGTTGGCAAAGTAAACATCAATGACAAAAACTATATACAAAGTTAGGTCATCTCTACCATTGACTATGAGAGGGCCCGAGTAGAATTCAAACATGAATTTAGACAAATTTTTTTTATAAAACCCCTGACAATTACAAATTAAAATTCTAATGGTTCTTTTTTATAGCAAAATATTAAGTTCATAATAATCTGAAATACACATTTTTTTTGTTGGTAACCATCTGTACCATTCTCTACGCCACCACTGGTGCACTACTGCCCACCTCTAACACACAGTTCTCTCCCCATTGCCTAAGCTATCACTTTCAGACTCATTTCTCTTCCTAAAGATATATCTGATCTATGTTTTATATAATGTCTAAAGAGATAAAACATTTTCTGCACAAAAGCATCCATCATAGATCATGAAGTAAAGGTCATGAAACCTTAGAATTATAAAGATTTAAATTAAAGCAATTGAGTTCATACAAATTTTTGTGTTGTTGATATCAAAGATCATAAATACAAGAGTGAAAATTATATGACAAAAAATTAAAAGAAAAAAGGTTAATGAAGATGACACCTAAACTGATCAGCATTCATAAAAACTCCCCCCTATCTCAGCTATAGAATCATTGTTGCATATGTTCTATTATTCATCTGTCATAATTTTATCTGAAAATGTAATATTTTAGTTGCTACAAAAAACCAAATAAGGGAAATAAGAATTACAGCTGCATAAAAAAGGTGCAAAATCTTTATATGTAACAAATTTGCAGTTACTGGATGGGTTTTTAATGTTCACTTTGACCAGTATCATACATTACTCTGCATGATGCAAAAGTACATTGCCCTCAATTACAGAGATAAAATTGTCAAGGAATTACAGAAAGTATTTATAAGGATCATTGCAAAAAGCAACATATTTTAAATGAAAGAATTCATGATAGAAATTTAAAAAATTCTCTATCTGTTAGCCTGTGCCAATTCAAGATTCCCGATCTCCAATGCCGATTCAAAACAAATCCAATCAACCTGCAATCATCAAAGTCAAACTCCAATCGAACCTAAAAATCAACAAATTCGCAAAAGCCTAAGGGAGGTAGCAAACGACAAACGGTGAGCAACCATCGTCAAGGTTGATGGGGCTTTGGTTGGGAGGAGTCGATGATGCAATTGGTGGTGTTAGGAAAGATTTCCAATGCAAGGAGCGACCAAAATTTGGGTGGAAAGTCGCAACAATCGGACAAAACCCTAAACAGCGTGATTCCAACAATCGACGAGTAATTGGGGTTCAATAAAAAAACTTGGAAGCACATGAACCAAAAAAGGTGATGATCAACGGATGGTGGCTCAATGAGATAAGGGTGACAACGATTTTGATGTGTAGGTTGAGAGGAGTAAGGTAATGGAGTCAAGAGGTCCAAACAATGCTGGAACAGGTCGGAATGGCAAGGGACGACTGTTGCTCATAGGTGTTGTGGGCGTGATAAGGGTTATTTTTCTAATTCTATTAATTGGGGGTTATAAAAGTAATCTATTAATTTATTTGTCAAGGACAATATGGTAATAACACTCTCCTCACCTATCAAAACCTAAAAATCGTAATGGTGTTGGTTTAAGGGTTGAGAATCTAGAATTTATGAAACCAGGGATGAAAACTTGTCATGTCACCAAACCTTGGGTGGAAACATGTCGTTTACTCTTATTTGAATCAATCATTATACCAATGTTTTAAAGCCCAACCCGGGGTGAAAGCCGATAAAGTTTCCAGGTCCCGGGTTGACCCGTTTAACCAGTTGGTCAAACTAGTTGACAAAAAAATTTAAAACTCAACAAATACACCCCTAGAAATTACCTCCATGTCCCTACATGTTTGAACTTTATCAAACACACCCCAAATGAAAATCGACCAGAGACTAATCGGCAACGGCGACACCCCAGATGCAACCCCAATCGCCCCTTAAGCCCATTTCCATTAAAATCTACCCAAGCTCTGGCCAAAATAGGTTCGATTTCGGCCAGATCTCACCGACGTCGGCATGGGTATTCTAGGTCAGATCTCATCCACGCCAGCGCCGACAAACCTCCCCATCACCCAAGAATTACTCCCCTATTCCTCTCGACCAAAACCCACCTCACCCCACCCCCGTTAGCCTCGCCAATCGCCGAAAAAATCCTATCGTTGCCGCTGCCACGTTTGTTCAATTTTCGATCGATTTACTCACCGGAAATCAACGCCGTCACCACCATTGCATTCACCGGAACTTAGTCTTCAAAAGCCCTAACCTTTCGATCGTCGATTGTTCGTCGATCATCTCCCAAATCTTAGGGTTTTGGGGTGAATAGGAAAAGTTAAACGCGACCCGTTGAAGCTACCGGGTCCTGATTAAACCGGTTCAACCGACCGGGCCGGGCCGGGTTTTAAAACAATGCATTATACTAAAGATGCCCAATTTTCAACATGTCTCTAACAATCCCAAGCAAAAATGGGAATATATTTACCAAAAAAAAAAAAAAAAACGAGTCAAAGAAAGAAATCTAGTAAAAACAGTTAACACAAAATTATAACTGAGAATATAAACTGAAACTTTAATTACATAAAGGACCAGAAATATAAATTGTTTTTTTTTTTTTTCCTCATGTCTATATAATTCACCAGAGGTAAAATTCCCACCATTTCACAAAGAACAAAAAAATAGACAATAAATATCTAAACTAAAAGACAATAATTTTCAATTTTAATCATTTAAATGAAAAAGAAAAGAAAAGAAATATATATATATATAACCTAAATGCTTATCATTCTTCTGTTCTTCATTTTCTTCTTCAGTAGGTAGAAGGCCAAGACATTTACAATATACTAAAGACCTCTTTCTTAACTGCCTCTTTTTTTGACTTTCCCTTAGAACTCTGCCTTCCAAAAAAAACCTGGCAAGAATCCCCTGATTGCAACGAGATGCATGATGCCAAACAAGTACCTATAGTAAATTTTGACATTCGAAACAAACATATTTCAACCTCGATATTAAGATTCCATGAAAGCAGGAATTAGTATGGTTAGTAGAGAAAGACATATCAAGTTCTAACCTCAAGAAACGACATGCAACCTCATTTTTCATAAATTGTTTTGTTTATACAACAAATTCATACAAACAGGTGTAATTATAACGTTCAGTGTCAGTAAAGTACCTGTAGGTGGAACGCGCCACTAAGAACCCCATAATTTAATCACTTTGGAATACTTTTTTTGGATCGAGTTGTCCACTACAGTAGCTCGAAGGAACAGTAGAGATCTCCTGTCTTCCTCTCCACTCTTCACCAGGTTTCAGCACAATTGGCTTTTCCACACATGCGGCTTCTACACACAGCATATGTTTGTACTCTTCATCACCAAAGTCAGTCATTGCCTTTGCTTTCTTATCCCATGGATTCCAGACCACTGCAGAGGAAAAGAAATACATGAACTGCCACTAGAAGCAACGGTGTTTCACAAGAATGTGCAACAAACTTCAGACACTAAATTAGAACCAAAAGAAAGAGTAGGAAAAAAATTGAGATAAGACATAAGAGTTCCAGTAATGCAGAGGTATTTGTTTGTCAAACCATTTATAATCATGATAACGCAGTTTGGGGCATTACACTAACATTCATCAAAAACATCAGCAATAATTTGTCATATCCCTGCATGATTTATTAGCTCACCAGTAGTGCACCCATTTCCTTTTTAGTAAGAAATTGTATATAATGAAGGTAGCATATCAATCTAACATTGCCCTTCCTTTTTTAACCATGAAATATTTTGTCTCCTCACTGTGATCTAACTTGCATGCATAAATACATTCAAGGAGAACTGAGAAACTGATGAACCATGTGGCCCTTGCTAACTCACCAGCATCTGGAAGTCCATCTTTCCGCAACACAAAAGTACGCTTCCTCTCATGGTCCAGAATAGCAATTTTTGTAGGTGTACTCAGATATATCTTGTCTACCTTTACCAAAAAAATAAGTACCACAATTAATGACAACAGAAACAAAAAACAGAACTAAAAAGGAAGAGTAATGTTATTGCATCCCCTTGTTCAAGCAGTTAGAACGGACACTAACTTCTGATTCAAATGTTATTGCATCCCCTTGTTCAGTAAATCGCTCTTTACCCTTCAAGTTGTCCAGATAATCCAGTGTCTCTAATCCTTCTACCCGCACTTCACTAAAAAAAATAAAACAATAAAAAGAAATTGCAACATGGAAGTTAGGTTGGCAAAGTACATCATCAATTGACAAAAACTATATACAAAGTTAGGTCATCTCTACCATTGACTATGAGAGGGCCCGAGTAGAATTCAAACATGAATTTAGACAAATTTTTTTTTATAAAACCCCTGACAATTACAAATTAAAATTCTAATGGATTCTTTTTTATAGCAAAAAATATTAAGTTCAATTAATAATCCGAAATACAACATTTTTTTTTTTTTTTCCTTGGTAACCATCTGTACCATTCTCTAGCCACCACTGGTGCACTACTGCCCACCTCTAACACACAGTTCTCTCCACATTGCCTAAGCTATCACTTTCAGACTCATTTCTCTTCCTAAAGATATATCTGATCTATGTTTATATATAAGTCTAAAGAGATAAAACATTTTCTGCACAAAAGCATCCATCATAGATCATGAAGTAAAGGTCATGAAACCTTAGAATCATAGAAAGATTTAAATTAAAGCAATTGAGTTCATACAAATTTTTGTGGTTGTTGATATCAAAGATCATAAATACAAGAGTGAAAATTATATGACAAAAAATTAAAAGAAAAAAGGTTAATGAAGATGACACCTAAAACCGAGTCAGCATTCATAAGAAAACTCCCCCCTATCTCAGCTATAGAATCATTGTTGCATATGTTCATTCATGAGTCATACTGTCATAATTTTATCTGAAAATGTAATATTTTAGTTGCTACAATAAAAACCAAAAGTAAGGGAAAATAAGAATTACAGCTGCATAAAAAAGGTGCAAAAATCTTTATATGTAACAAATTTGCAGTTACTGGATGGGTTTTTAATGTTCATTTTGACCAGTATTATACAGTACTCTGCATGATGCAAAAAGCACATTACCCTCAAGTTACAGAGATAAAATTGTCAAGGAAATTACAGAAAGTATCTATAAAGGATCATTGCAAAAAGCAACATATTTTAAATGAAAGAGAATTCATGATAGAAATTTAAAAAATTCTCTATATTTTAGCATTATGTTGTCAAAAAATAGCATCCACCTTACTGCTTTTGACAACCTCTACCCATATTTTGATTTCCCACAAAACTTATCAATTCATATATCTAGATATAAACACCAAATAATTAACAATATTTCTAACCATAAAGATGGGGCAGAAATTCATGACATTAATTAAAGATCAAGACCATTGAAAACATTCATCATTTTGAAAAGCAAAACATATAGCAGGATGTAAATGACAATTTCAACCACTCTGCAATATATTAAAATGACTTGAGAAAAAAAAAAAATCAAAAGATAGGTAAAAAGAAAAGCCATTAGAAAACCTGATATCTGAAACAGCAAAATAGGTGTGATAGGCAAATGTAAACGCAAATGATTTTCCATCAGTGTTTGTATTTCGAATGCGAGAAGTCAACATCAAATCTCCTCCAGGTCCAAGGGTTATCCTCAGGCGAAACTCATATCTGCAAATAGTGGTCACCTATCACATTTCAACACTTAAACACAGAAGCAGAATGCAAAAGTATAAAGATATATGTGTATCTACAAGCATACGCATACACACAATTAAAATGTTTTTCAAGCTCTCAATTCACTTCATATAATAGATAATTATTCCATGAAAACACACATTTTCCATAGGCAGGAATAGATGAACTTAATTCCCTACATCACATAAATCATTTAAGAAACATAAATGAATATGCAAGAAGCCTAAAAACAAATTTCTATATATTCAAACTGAATTGATTTGTAACTTTCAAATTTGAGTTATGCACCTGTGAGGCCAGATCTTTGCATCTTCTTCAGAGTGCTTAAGGATTAAATCAATGAAGGCCCTGTTGGAAGTATTTGTTGGAAATGGCGGGGGATCATGATCAATGCTCCACATCCTGTTCCTTGCAAATCCATGTTGTTCTAGAGAACCATGACTTCCAAACTGCAGATAGAAAACTACACATCAAGAGGAAAGGAAAAAAATAAATAAAATAAAGAAATTGAAAAAATAAATACATAGTTAAGTGAAGCACATACTTGAGGAAAGCAGATTGGAATACCTCCACGAATAGCCTTTGGAAGTTTAAAAGTAGCCTGAAAAGGTTCAATATATGTTACAAAAGATAAAAAATATAGTAGAGTTTCTACTATGATGTAAAATTCAGCAGATATCTTTCCTAGCAATTGATGCCAGTGATCATATACTGAACACCATCCTAATACATTCGTGCAACACTAAACTACATTAATAAATAACCATTACAATAGAGCTTCTTTTTCTTCTTTTTCCATGTGAGAGAATTGTTTGATACATGGTGACTAAAATTGAGATGGAGTTTTTGAATATTTTGATATATGGTGATTTGAGTATAGATTTTTACTGCAGCGTGTTTATAGCTGGCTTTTTGTTTGGTCAATGTTTTTGGGCATTCCTTGAAATTGTTTTGGATTGATTTTCTAATTTCACAGGATAAACCTTCTTTAGTGGACCTTGTTCACTTTTGAAAAGTTACTTTCATAAGTGTACAAATTTCAATCTTTCTTATTGCAAGAGAGAGGTAAAAGTAAAGACATCATCATTTGTAGCATACGCCCATATAATATGTTTATAGTTACTTCTGCAGTCAAATGGCAACCTAGAGTTCTGGATACGATAGGGCATACAAATTAGATGCCTTGCAGAGATATGCACATCAAGGCAGGCAGCAAGTGAGCTAAAATGAATGTTCATGTTAATCGAATAAATTATAAATTCCTCCAGTATGTGGATGCAAAAATATCAAAGAAAAAAAAATGAAAAGCTGATAAAAGGCAACTACATAGAGATGTAACTATAAAGAGATGTAGAATGGGAAAAATAACAAATCTAATACTCTATCCCTTTTAGTCAATCCTATACTTTTTTTGAGTCTAACTATGTAATGAACCTCCGGTGGTTATCCTACACTATAAATTAAAATAATTAATAACTGCAATCATGTAATGTCACTAAATCAAGAGCTTTCATGCTTGCGTCTACATATTTACACATTAAGATCAGAAGGGCACATGGGCACATAAGCAGTGTGTTAGAGGTGAGTCCTTGTGGCTTAATTTAGTTAACCAATTCAAACCTTGTGAACAAGTAGATGTCATATCTGTTTCCCAAAAAAGTAGGTAATCACTAACACATCAGCTGCATTAACTTTTGTACACGTGCATGATATCACAATGTATCTCGTAAATAATTTCTACCACTTGTTTTCTTAAGAAGTTAGTCTAACATTCATTACCTAAATAGTATACAGAACAGGAACAAGTAAAACTATTCCTTATCACAACAGCTAGAGCATTATACCAAAGCTAAATTTATAATTTCATTTTGGTTGTTAAAACTGAGCAGGTTCTATGTATAGAAGTACCTTGCTACTAACAAAAAGCAATTCTTCTCCATATTCATTCTTCCAAGATGTTACTTGTCCTCCGTAGAGATATACCTGTATTTGACCAAACCAAGAAAGAAAGAAAGACATTATTAAAAAAAAAAAGAAAAAAAAAAAAAAAAAAGAAAAAAAAAAAGCTTTCTCATTAAAGGTAAAAACACGACAATAAATTTGAATAAACCAACAAATAATATTTCAAGAGGAAATCATGATAACCCAATACTTCGAAGAAATGGATCAATGAAACAAAAGCTGGTCACATGAGTGGCTTTCTTCATGCCAAACAATGTTCAACTAATGATGTAGTCAAGTGTGGATATGAGGGAACCAACAAAGCAAACTGACACATTAAGAGAACATTTGTTTTTCATCTAAACTGAAAATGTACCTAATATGAATATGAATGATATGATTTGTTCTCTTAGTATACAATGTAGAACACTTTATAATAAATTAGAGATTCGAATTAAAAGTATATATTAAAAAAAAGTATTATGCTATTAAAAAAAACCGAATATCAACTTAATAATTCCATGAAGAAATGCTTTTTATACATCCATAAACCACAAAGAACAACCAATACAAACAGTCTATTCTACAGATACAGTAAGAAAATGGCTCAAAGCTCATAGATTATTAATTTAAATTACTCTGGTTCGAAACAAACAGTCATTTCTACATTTACCTAATAAAGTACCAAAGCTCATACACGTTAGTAACTTATATCACTCCAGGAACCTTAGACTTCTTTTCTCAAACATTTCAGTCCACTACCTTCATTCATCCTAAACCAACAAAAACAACTGAAACAACAGCGATTCAAACATCATACAAATCTCCAACAACCTTAGATTTTATTTTCTCTACATTTTAACATCTACTACTTTCACATCTCCAAAAACCCACACAACTATCAAAACAAACAGCCAATTCTACATATACCAAAACAAACTGCTAACGCATCATACACGTTAGTAATCTTAACTCGCAAACCTTGGAAACTTTTCCCCAATTTCCACATCCACCACCTTCACATCATCCAGAAACCACAAAGAACATCAAAACAAATATCTGACTCTACACATAACATATCAAAACTGTTCAAACTCATATACATTTATAATTCAATCACTCCACCAACATTTCAGTTCATTTCTACATTTTCACAGCGACTACCTTCACATCATCCATAAAATACAAAAAAAAAAAAAAAAACTATTACAACCAACACCGAATTCACAATTCGCTAACAATTGCTCAGATCTAGCGAAACAAAACATCAAGATCATTCTAACACATAAAATGCGAAGAACAAGCAATCAAAAAAAGAGGATCAGAAATACCTCAACAGATGAGCCACGGACCTCGCGCAAAATGACTCTCTCGAGGCCGTTAACGCCCTTACAATGCTCGACGAAGAGCTTGTCGTCGCCGGAGGAGGTCGAGCGATCCATGGATCGGTCTTTTTGTATGTCTTTGGATCGAACCGAATCCATTGGAATCGTGTGGGGAAATTTATAGGAAATTGACACTACAAGAAAGTTTAATATTTTTTAAAGAGATTTTTGGGGTCTACTACTAATTATGGCTATGGATTCGACTTTTAGATAATCCTACCTTTTTACGCTTTTTCTTTTCTTTTATTATTTATTTATTTCTTAGGATAATTTTATTGGCAAAATATATTATTATTATTAGGTTGAATAACATTTTCTCCCCTTGGTTTTAGAAACATCCATATTACCCCATTTTTCATATTTAAACGTCAAAACTTACCTGTAAATAGAGATAGGCATAAAACCCTGCCCCGCAGGAACCCGCCTCAAACAGGGCGGGGTTTCCTTGAATCATTTGGGATTTAGGTTTGGAACGGGCCCAAAATCAGTCTCGAATTTTGGGGATGGGCCAGGGTCGGCATAGGTCTTGCCCCGCCCAACCCCGAAATCTCCGGCCCGGCCCGGCCCGGCTCGACCTGTATATATATATATATACTATGAAACAAAAGTTATACATTATACATTATATATTGTATATTATACATTATATATGGTATACATTTGACATTATACATTATACATTATATATGGTATATAAGTATAATGTATATAACATATATATGTTATATATTATACATAATATGCTATTATATATATTCATATGTTAATACATAATATATATGTGTAATATATCATTTGGTGTTTTGATTAATTATAATAAATCAATAAATCATTATAATTTTTTTGTTGTCCCTCATTGAATCATTATTTCAATTCTATTACTAATTGCCCTTGTTATATTATAATAGCTCTTTATTATAATATATATGATAGTTATTTATTTAGAATTTATTATAATATATATATATATGTATAATGTATCATATATAATACATTATATATTAAAGAGACGTTATAATATATATGGTATAATTTATTTAGAATTTATTATAACACATTATATATTATGTATTATCATACATTACAAATATATATATATATATATATATAATATTATGTATTATTTAGAATATTAATGAGACATTATAATATATATATGGTAATCTTTATATAGAATTTATTATAATACATTATACAAAATATGTTATAAAATACAAATTATACATTATATATAATATATTAATACTTATTACTTAATACAATAATGCATAATATTATACTGTTAATATATAATATATTTATATATATGTATAATGTATCATAATTTCTTTTTGGATGGTATAGTCTTTATGTTTAATATGTACATTATAAATTTAATTTCTTTTTGGATGGTATATTATAATTTAGAGAAAATAGTAATAAGGACACAAAAAGACACAAAAGGGTTTGGGGAATGGGTTTTATTCGGAGATTCCCTGAATTCCCCGAACAGGCTACGGGTCGAGATCGTGAAATCCCCTTGAGCTTTGGGGTCGGCGTCGGAGATAAGGGTCCTTGGCCCGTGTCCATCCCTACTGTAAAAGGATAATCTTGTCGATTCATAATGTTATATTAGAGTATGCTTAATTTGTGATTCAAAAACCAAAATAGGATTCAAATTTTTGAATTGTATCTTAATATTTTTAATATTTGAAAATGAGTATAATATAATATTTAAAAATTGTTTTTAGATTAAAAGTTATAGAAAACTATAAAACCCACTTTTAATCATTTTCTAATTTTACATTAGTTTTTAAGATTGCATTTAAAAACTATCAATTTGACCAATTTCTATCAAACACGCTTTAATAAGATTTGTTATAGTTCTTATTTTCAAAAACAAAAAAAAATTATATCTAAATTTTATATCAATTGGATCCTTAGGTTTTTTTGTCTCCATAATGTTATATATGTGAGATGAATTGACGAGATTGCCTTTTAAAGATTAAATTTAAATGCTTTGAAGTCTAAAATGAGAATACTATTGGGTGTTTCTGAAACAAGGGGGAAAAGGTCCTCTCACGACAGATTGGGGGTCAATAGTGATTCGGCCTTATTATTATTATTACTATTTTGTTTGGTCTACTAAACTTAGATACTCAGTTTGAAAATTAAGTAAAAGTACATTTCAGATTTCAAATGATTTTAACTTTGCTTTAAAGAATTTTAATTTGATCTTTTTGTTTAGTACAAAGCCCTAAATGCTCGTACAAAAAATTTCAAAACTCTACGTACTACATGCAAAATCCAGTGTATATATATATAAATTTTTTGTACTAATTTTGCACATGGATTTACTCTCAACAATTGGTTTTAAACGTGAGCATGAATTGATAAAAGTAAGTCCCACGTAAGAAAAATGTGGTCCTTGAAAAGAGAGTAGATTAGATTTGTAGTTATTATGAAATAATTGTCATACTAGCTTATGAGATATTATTTAATATTTATAGAGTAAACTACTTTTTCCCACCCAAGGTTTGCTTTAATGACCTTTTTTCACCCCAAAAGTTTCAAAATATTAATGTTCTGTTATTACCCAAAGCTGATTCTGGTCGTTCCGGTGGTGAAAATTCTCTCTGTCACCACCATTTGAACCTTTTGTCTCCTCTACACAAAACCCTTCTCACTCCGGCACTTGATTTCTCACAGGTTACCAGTCCCCACAAAGCTAGGGTTTCTTGTTCTTAACTGATTTTTGACTGAATCCGTCAGAAAATATTTAATCGATCACTAACATTTGATCTATCGGCCTCCACTCTTTAAAACACCTCTAATCCTAGCTCCTGACTCACTAAATGTTGGCTAAGAAAGTGAAGTGTATCTTACTGCATGTTTGGCTTAATATTTTTATCCCTATTCTGGATCCTATTCTCTAAATAATGTTTGGCACACTATTCCAGAAATATTACCCTATTTTTTAATTATTTTTAACCCCATAAGGTTATTAATTTCACTAAATACCCCCTGAAAAAAGTTTAAAAATTAACAAAAACACCCCCATCAACCCAACTTGTCAGATTCCGGCAACCACCGTCGGTGATAGCCGGAATCTGTACAAACGGCCTAACTTCAGACCTGAAATGGCCGGAAGTTCACCGCTGTGGCCTTTTCCGGCCAGATCTGGCAGTCAGCGACGGCCAAAGAAATGGCCGTTGTTGACGGTCAACGACGACCAAAGATGGCTCTCGTTTGGCATTTTTCGACCGTCGACGGCCATAACAGACCGTAGATCTGGCCTTTTCCGGCGTGTTACAGCACAGATCCGACCGGTCTGTGCCATAACGAAATTTTCCGGTCAGATTCCGGCGGTGGTGGCCGGAATCTGACACTGCAGGTGGTGGGGGTGTTTTTGTCATTTTATATGTTAGGGTCTTTAGTTAAATTAGTAAACCTAAGGGCTTTTTCACAAATTTTTAAAATTTACCTCGTAATACTCCCCTATCTAATAACCCAATACTATCCCTAAAATCCTATCCAAAATACTAAACCAAACGCACCCTTAGATATTAACGGAATATAAACTTTGGGTGGGAAAGTGGTAATTTGAAACTTTTTGGGTGGAAAGTGTCATTAAGGCAAACCTCGGGTGAGAAAAGTGTTTACTCTTATTTATAAACTTTTATAACTTTGAAATCTAATTATTCTTTTTTTATTGTCTGTACAGTCTAGTCAGATTCTTGATTCGAGTCCTTTATTCAACGGTCTAATTCTATCTGTTTTGATCATTTTAAAGTAATTAACCAAGAATTTGGACCTCTTCTGATACCATTTATCATACAACTATTTTTCATTACCTTTATTTTAAAAACTAAATAATGTTATTTATTCATACTTAATTACTTATAACTCTATTTAACACTTGATAGTAGTAAATGTCAGCTTACGCATACCTCAACTATTTCTTAGGAACCCTAGAATTATGGGTAAAGTAATAGTTCTAGTAACTATCTTTATTAGTAATCGAGGAGGGACTTGAACTCTGAACCTCTTGAATAATACACTCAAGAGTCTTTATCGAACCACTCTACCGTAATTAAATAAATGTTTTAAGTTGAAAACCTTAAAATGAAATTTATACATTAAAAAAAATGATTAGACTAATGTGATTTGGTATATTTACATTAAAAATTATAAATCCAATCTTTATTTACTACTTCATTAAACTCAAATTGGGCTGTATTGTAGGCTTAAAAACCCAAAATCTTAACTTACAAGTTAGAATGTTGTTTGGTTCATCATTTAAGTTAGTTGAAATTGGAGTTATTAAATATATTTTTTAAGAGTGGATTAAAAGCCCTAATTGAGTGATTGTAATTAAAATACATTATTAACATAACGTTAGAATGAAGAGTGATATTATACCAAAATTCTCTAAATATTTTAATTCAAAATTAAAATAATTTATTTCATAATTAATCTTTTTGGGGATTGGGGATGTGCCCCATCCCCGACTCAAAAAATAATTCAGGGATGGTTCCCCATCCCTCCGTCCCCAAACAGGGCGGGGACCCATACCTGCGGAGAAACTTTTCAATGGAATCTTAAAACCCCAAAACCCAGATCTTTAACTGGTGCAGAACAACTATATTACATCCAAGATTGAATTGGTAAAAGAATAAAATAAATCCTGTAAAGTGGCCTGCATTATTGATAAACCGGTCAAGTTTGGTGAGGCGTTTTAAAATGTGCCTTCAGTTGGAAGTGAACTCTCATTTTAGGCGGGAAGAAATTGATATTTTACCAACTCTTTTGCCAATATTAACCTGTCCCAAGTTCCAAGCCTTTCTTTGAACTCATATTCATATATCTCTTCCTCTCCCACTCTCACATTCATATATCTCTTCCTCTCCCACTCTCACATTCACAGACAGACATGGAGGGCCTCATACCTTTCATCTACAGAGTCATCATTCAATACAGAGGTTCTGGCAGGCAAACGACAGTGGCAGATTCTTGGTTTAGTGAATCACCCCCTGTGCCTTACATTAGGCTTCCTGGCGATTCGGGACGCTTCACACTGCTGCCTGAGTATGTTTTCTCTTCATCTCCTACAAGTAGTTCGCCAGTTAGCTCCCGTTCCATTGCATCTACAGGGTCTCCTTTGCCTCATCGGTTTTCTTCTTCTCGCCCTGCTTATTCCTGATGGGAAATGAATAAGCACGCATTTTGATTGTAACTGTTTGCTTCATGAAGTAGAGTCTGATCTTTTTGTGTTTGGTGTGGATGAATAACAGCGTAAGCTGCATTCAACTTCCGTGTTTGATAGGGTATAAAAATGATGTGGTGATTTTCATGTCAGCCACACATTTCAAGATGTAAGCAACAAGTTTGAAGGTTTGAATCAGCACTCAATAAGAACAAAAGTCTTCAACAAAATCGAGCTAAAAATTCAAAGACAAATGAAGTCAGAAATCAAATCACCCTTACAACAACATGCATATAGATTATACTTTTTAACTCCTTGTGCACGAGTAACATAAAATCAGATGAACTCTATAAAATCGTAATGGCATCAATATCAAGCTTTCCCCTATGGGTAAATAAAATTGCATCCTAGTATGGCAAACAATCTTCAGGAGTCAATCAGATGATGCTAAACCGAAAACAAATGAAACAACATTGAAAACATTGAACCTGATGCATATTTTAGATAATCTGAATACAGAGTGCTTATAAGGAAGCCATATTCTCTCAGAACCATGCAAAGTTGTATTGAAAAAATTTCAAAAATATCACAATAGCCAAAAAAAAATTTCTACTGTTAACACAATAAAAATCGGAATAAATAACACAATCTGGTATTTCCTAGGTGTTGCCTGATTAATTTTGAGAATAATGTTGTCATAAACATACCCATTTGATTTGTTCAAAGCTTCTTGAGTATCTTCAATGTTCACAGAGATTACAAATCCAAAACCCTGCTCATACTTGTCTTCTGAAAAACGGAAACATAAACACAGCTTATTGCAGTGAAAGAAGGGAAAAGCTCAAGAAAGGCTGGATTCCAAGTGTCCCCTGGAGGTCAGTCGCAGTTCCATTATATCTGTATTTCTCTGAAAAGCTCTTAAGTACTCTGAAAGCTCTTAAGTTCTAAGTGTCCCCTGAAAAGCTCTTAAGTTCTCCATTATATCTACATCTCCAAGCAGTTCCAAATTTCTCTGCTCTGCTTCGAGTCCTGAAGAAACAGACATGTTCCCTAGGCCAAACAAGTAGTAGTACTGTAATTTCTGATGCCTCCAGCTTATCAATCAATTGCTTGGCTGGTGCATTAGTTCTTGTTGGGGCACCTTGCTGTGGCAGTCACCCTGATTACCTAAGTTCTACAGACAATGGTCCATCAGAATAGTACACCTTTTCCCAATTAGAGCCAAGGAATCGCCAGCTTTCTGGTTTGTTACAACAGCTTCATTTTCATCATAAAGATAAGAATGATTGTAATTCAAATAAGCAAGAATATAATGTAACTGGAAGGTTTAAATAATTTTTTGGGAAATTGTAGGTGATACTTCAAAGGAAAGACTTAACATCAATGACATCAAATTTTAATCCATAATATTGGAAAAACAAAAGTAGTTTACCAGAATAGCAATAAATGAGACTGAAAACAAAAATATTGAAGTATTTGAGATTAATAATGAATAGTTAATTGATTTACAAAGCTGCAAAGAATGAGCATGAACTTCAAGAATTGATTTCTGACTTTTTGAAACTTTATTTGCCAGGAAAAAAAAAAAAAAGATCTGCTCATCTTTTGTACCAAATTTGACGTTTTGAGAATAAGTGTCCTCCAAAGTGTCAATGCTCTTTTTATTCAGCGACCGAATTCCTGAATTCTTCACCAAAAAGAAACATCGGCCAGCCCTGTAGTGCACCTGAACCTCTCCACCATCAGATTCCCTTCTACGGTTCTACCCCACCTGAACTATTCTCTCCTCTATCTCTCTTCCATCAATAGCACTATTGCAGCAACTCATGGTTGTATAACCTCACATAGAAACGCATCAAGGTCACCTCTAACATGCCAAAACTTAAAATTCCAACAAAACACGAGAAAATCAAATAGATAGAAAAGGAAAGGAAAATTTGACTGAAGAGAGCATCATTTGAATAGGTATTAATGTAACAACAATGTTTATGAGTCCACAAGCAAAAGCTTCTTAACAACAGATCATAATGAAATTGTTTCTAAGGATAATTAATGCCTATAGAAATTACACAGCAAGAAACATAAGAGACTGCAAAGAAAGCAGTAACTCCCATGCCAAAATAAAAAATTAGCCACAGCTTCGCTAAAGCGTTGTAGGATCATTAATCACTCCCAAGAAATCGTCCTTTATGGTGCCAATGCAGAACTGCGAAAAGGGGTCAAAACATAAGATAAGATAAGATAAGATAAGATGCACATACAAATTGTTCAATCATCAAATTATGGGGAGAGGAAAAATAGTGCTTAATCACCAACAAGTTCAAATATTGACAATATATTTGAAATTTAAACTTTTGTATATCAAACTCCATAAATAACAGGTTCCCAATTAAATGTTACTTCAGTGTCAAATCTACTTTTCAGCATCAACCGTTATGAATGACTTCAAACCATATCAATCTAAAACTATGTTTGACGCTTCTATGGATTGTAAGCAGGACCATAGTATTAGCCAAAGGTACTAGCATCATTTCTTTGTTCACATATGTAAGAAAGGAGCGAACTTTAGTGAAATAGATAACCATAAGCTTTGAGTTGCATACTCTTCAAAATTGTTTGTATAAATAGATCATCCCCTGTTTACACACAATGACACAATTGCTGTATTGACAGTTAACCCAAATCCCAAAATCACATATGCATGAAAAGACATAGTAGGGACTTTAAAATATAAATTTCATCAAGCCCATTAAAGGTACCATGAGTAAACCCAAAAGATGACATGCCATGACGAACTCTTCCATAAAGCATCTGATCCCACCCAAATACAGAGCATTAGAGAATTTAATGATATCATGACAAACAAAATTGAGTATATTTATAGCCTGAAATGACTAAATATCAAATGTATCTGAATAAATTGGCCCTAGTACAACAAGCCAGATCATGCTAAGTTCAAGTTTATCTTTAAGAAAATCTAATTCAAAATAATACATCCATAAGAAGCAAAGACCGAGTATAAGAAATACTAGCCAAGATTTTAATAATTAAGCAAGATAAATGCTCACAATTTCCGTAGCATCTACTCGAGTCCCAATTATCTTTAACCGCACTTCACTGTCCTTTTGAATCTTAACCTACAAGAACTCCAAGAGATCATTTCAACCTTACTCTTATAATACCACAAAATTAACATAAGTTTCCTATGAGAGGTAAAAACTGAAGCTTACCGATCCATCGGAGGTTGTATAATTTGGCATATCTCCAGACTGGAACTCCATATCATCAGGTATCAACTAAAACACAAAACAATGTCGTCGATACACATTCATAGATGATAATATAATACCAATGCAGTTCAAGCCTCTATGAAAACTCATCGAACCAGTGAAAAAGAAACCTCGATGCTCAAAGAGAAGTAAAGTCAGATATTAAATCCCAATATTAAGCTAGATCTCCCCACTAAGCAGGAAGCTCAAAAGTAATCAAGAAGATGTTTCCTCAAGCTGAAACCACAGCCATAGAGAACTTACATGATTCGAAACAAAAATTTGAACAGGTCCAGCTTCAGCAAAAAATCCCATCTATCAAAGTTCCAAACATAGTTAGAAAATACAAAATTTCCCAAAACTATTGCATCTAACATAACACATTATCAAACAAACAACCAAATAGGATCATTAAAGACATGAGCCCACCTTGTTTACCATAGTCACAACAGCTTCTAAAATTTCCCCTTTAAAGGGTCTGAAGACCACACACTGATACTTCACTGGAAACGTCACAAATCCAGTCCCATCCCGAATAAGCCCTTTGCCAATGCTGTCTACACCCGTTATAGCCACCACAAATCCATGTCGACCACTATAGAATTCCGAAAAAGATTATTGTCTCTTTTTTTATTATTAATTAGGTTAAAATTGGGGGAAAATAATTTTGAAAAGGGAAATAATTAACTAATTGAACTTACCTACATGTGCCCTCAACATCTTTCATGAGTTTGGTGACGAGGTGCTCGCGAAGATTCCGACCAAAGTGCCGTGGGTGTAGTTGCATGTTTCGCTCTAATACTATGTGGAAGAACATCTTTCTCTTTGTGATTTGATTTGATCTCTAGTTCTATGAGAATAATAGATATCTCCCTGCAAAATTTCAGAACCCGGGAATGAGTTAAACTCGATCACAACTTTGAGGGTATCTTGGAACACCCAAATTCATTTGGAGAAGAAGAGACAATACTTGCAGAGTTTCGCTCAGTAGCAGTAATTTGCAGTTTGAAAAACCCTAAAGAATAGAGAAGTCAGAAGAGAAGGCAAATTGTTTTTTTTATTTTTTCTGATAAAACTGGAAATTTTAAGGGCAAATTGTTGGAATGAGACCCAACCCAGAAAGTAGAAATGTTTGTTCCGACTTCTGACAAAGTAATGTTAGGTCTCGTTTGGGGCAGAACTGGACTCAATTGGACTTAAAAATCAACCCGCGTTTGTTGGGACGCACAATTTAAGTTTATAGTCAGGGAATGAGGTAACGACTTTTTCGCATTGAAATAATGATTTAATGGCATTTTCTATCATTTACATATTTTTAAAATATGATTTTAATATCAAATTTGTATTTTGGTAATGAACATAGAATAAACTCGATCAAGACTATTAGAGTTTTTGAAAATAAAAGATCGATAAGTCTTTTGGTGGTAAAATATTAGATTTTAGTGATTCGGATTGATCGAAATTTGATTTAAGAGGGGTGGCTACGCAAATCCTAATCGCTCGATTGTCGACGATTGATGGAGTTGTCAAGAGTAGGGTTTGAGAGGTTTTAGTGAGTGATGATCAGGAAAGAGAATAATGGTGGTGTTGGGTCGCAATAATTTCGGAATCGAAAATAAAATATGAATTTGGGTAGTAAAGTAGTATTTTAAAAGTATGTGGGTGAAAAAGTGTCATTAAACCATTATTTGGGTGGAAAAAAGTCATTTACTCTAAGAGAGTGGATGAAATAAGAAAAAAAATGATCGAGTGGTTGGATAGAAACTTTTAGGTGTATTATTTAAGGGATTTCATATTTGAATCTCTCTTCAGTTACTAGTAAGGGTAGCCTCTGGGTTTTTATCCGACCGGTAGTTTTTGAGCCTCAAGGGATTTTGCAGTTACATTTAATAAAAAAAAAAGATTTAAATTTTACAAAAATAAATAAATAAAGTCAGCTAAAATAATTTTATCCAAGAAACGTTAAGATGTGTTCAGAATTTAAAAAAAATTCAAATTAAGAAAATAGTAAAAATACTATTTAGAAAACTAAAATAAAAAAAAGGGAGAAAAACCAGCGCAGCCGGCATAGGCTTTTCCTTTTTCTTTATTACGACTTTATGTTTTTAATTTGCTTTTTAGTCTTTTAAATTTAAAAATAAAAAAATGATTGTTCTTTTTTAAGTTTTTGAATTTAAAATTCAAAGACTAAAACCAACTAAATAATTAAGGGTATTTAAGTCCTTTTGTTGTTTTCTATTAATGTTAACGACAAATCAGAATTAAGTATCATTAAATTGAACAAAATGAAACTCATCTCCCTTTTCATCATTTCCCAAATCGAAGAAACAAATTCAAAAACTCTAAATTCTTTACCTTCATAAACCTTATTTTAACGCTTTTTCCCTTTATGAACCTTACTTATTTTACAGCATATCTAAAACCCTAAAACAATTTGTCATTTTTTACAATCAAGGAAACAAATTCAAATTCGTTACTCTACATGTCGAAACAATTCATGTTTATTATTTTATTGTTATACGTATTGAAACAATTTGTATTTAGAGAAGAATAATTACTTAAAAAACGTTGATGTGGGGAGATTACTATCCTTTATTATTATTATTATTATTTGATATTGTAAATTTTTATATAACATGTTATGTTGGAAAATAAACTTTTTAAATGATTGAAGGATTTGAAAAGCAAAATTATTCCAAACGCTACAAAGGATATGTTTGTAGCAGTGAAAAGGTTGAGCCCTTTTGTTATTACTTTATTTTATGCAATTTTATCTGAAAAATATGCATACATCTAACTCATCCCTATAAATAATATCAAAATCATCTAAAGGAACAACAGTCAAGTTGATCTTACCCGTCCAACAGCCCACACATACCTGCACATTGTAAGCTATTCCAGTCACCCCGCTGTACTAGAGTTCACAACCTTCATCGTCGTAAGACTCTGGAAAGTGTAGCCCAACTTTGAGACAACTCTATCTGCCACAAAATTATAAGTTGCTCCCGTATCTAGCAAGGCTTTAACTTGACTGTCTCTCACTTTCAAATCAACAAACAGTAGAGCATTTTGAGCGGCACCTTTACTCACCACTCTAAGGTAAGTATACCTTTTCTTCTTTGAATCTGTTTCTACCTCATAGCATCATTAATGCATCAGATTATAGTGATCTACTCACCACTAGACCTCTCCTCTTTACCATCAAAGCATTAAGCTTTTCTCTCTTTGGGCAATCTTTGCCCTATGTGGTCCTCACAAATGAAACAACCGGACATCATTTTACTCTTTTTGTTTTCCTTGGAGAAATTACTACCAGCAACTACTTTCCCCTTTTCACTAGTAGAATTTCTCTTTTGAAAGTGGAAGTCTTCTCTTGCTTTCCTTGATTTCCTAGTGTTCCTTCTTCTTTGCTTTTGTTGCAACAACAGGTTCTCTCTCCTCGCTACTTTTGAATCTACCAACCATCCGTTGCAGCAATAGCACTAGGCAAATCCTACACTTTTTGCCTTCGTAATTCAACTGCTCCCAGCCTTGCAAACCTGACATAAAGTTAAACAACTTGTCCTCCTCGGACAATTTTGAATGTCTACAAACAAGGAACTAAACTCCTTTACATACTCCCTCACAGTACCCTTTGCTGGAGCCTTTTCATCCAGTCCCTAACATTCCATGATGTATTTCCCGTAAGAATTGACCCTCAATTCTGGGTCTACCCACACTCACATCATCTGCCAATCTTGTGTGCCACCATAATAGCACACCAGCCAAATACATACTGTATTGAGACCTTCTCTCCAGTAGGGACTTTTGCGGCCTCAAAATACTGCTCCATAAATCCTAAATTTCTAACCTTGGCATTTCTAACCCTGAAAAGCCTTTGGTTTGGGTACTCTTATCTTGGCAGTACTTCCTATCAAGACTACGAGGGAGAGCATGCTTCAGCAAGGCATTGCCATTCTCTAGGGCCTTCAGTCTTTTGTTAGTCATGTCCACCATTTCCATAAATTGCTTATGGAGAATTTCGAAACTTTGATCAGTCTGATCTAGTCTCTCATTGATGGTCGCAGCCTAGCCATCCTGAATTCACCTAGCATCTCCTCTAACTGAGTCACTCTTTCCCTTGAAGCATCTATCTTAACTTTTGGCATGAAATAACAATAAGGAAAATATAAGAACGAACCTGGTTACAACCAGGCTCTAATACCACTGTCATAGGGCCTAAACTCGCTTCTAGGCACTACAAGCACAAGCACACCAAGCACTTGTCAACCTTCCTAAGTTGTGCATATCCTGTTACAAATTGCAAACACAATACAGAGAAGCTAATGAGAGTATAGCACAACATATACGGGAAAACCCAACCTTATATTATATAATTCCAAATACAAGAAAACCATGCACCCACACATGTTTCCCACTATTTATAATTGATCCCAATCATAGATTCAGCACCCAAGTTACAACAATGTATATACACACATATATCCCTTGCCCTTCTCACTCTCTCTCAAATTTATAACCTGCTTGCCTTTTATACATGTTGGCATAGCAGTATAGAGGTTACAATAGTAGTTACAACCCTATCTAGCAGTTACTAGCAGTTGACTTACATACAAGTCTATCTAGACAAATACAATCGTCTCATAGCTTTTGTCCAGCAACCATTCAGCTTGTCTGATCATTCCATCATCTAGTACCAACAACACATCACCCCATGCGCATTCTCTCCTGTCTCATACATGTACTCAACCACTTGTTATTTGTCTTGCATGTTAATGTACCAGCTCGTGTGCCTCTGCTTAGCCTGCCATAGGCGCCCCACACCTTGTGTAATACATGCCTGCGCATGCATGTTCTAGCTTGCAAGTGCCCACACCTGCTAGCCATCTCATCAGTGAGTACTTGGCGTCCCAATGCTTAAGCACCCATACCTGATCTCGTCCATCCTTGTGTTAGCATACACCGTGTGTTGTCTTGGCAAGGTTGTGGCTAAGGATGAAAGCCACATGCTACCCTTGCTTGACATCCTTAAGGGTCTTACAAACCACCCCAATAGAAGAGCCCAACGTCCTCGTCGGAATGGTGGAAATGTAATCCTGTACAATGTTCTCAAACTGCACACAATTTATATCTCTTTCCCACGAAACCTCACTTTCTTTCCCTTCCATTTCACAAAATACTCAATTCGAAAATTCTTCTTATGCTGTCTCATCCTCCAATGACTAATATCTTCTCAATCCCATCATCAAAAGTTTTCTGATCATGGGAGGAGTTCTCTTAGCTTTGGTCTTAAAGAGTCCTTTTTGTCCGCATGGAATGGTTCCAGAAGCTCACATGAAATGGGGATGTACCTTCAATCGTTCAGGCAGTTTCAACCTATAAGCAACAGCACCTACTTCACTTACAACCTCCACAGTCCACATACTTTGGAACTAATGCCCTATACTTTGGAACACGTGGGGGGGGAACCAGCGCAGCCGGCAACGCATAAGCTTTTCCTTTTTCTTTATTACGACTTTATGTTTTTAATTTGCTTTTTAGTCTTTTAAATTGTTCTTTTTTAAGTTTTTGAATTTAAAATATAAAGACTAAAACCAACTAAATAATTAAGGGTATTTAAGTCCTTTTATTGTTTTCTATTAAGGTTAACGACAAATCAAAATTAAGTATCATTAAATTAAATTGAACAAAATGAAACTCGTATCCCTTTTCATCATTTCCCAAATGGAAGAAACAAATTCAAAAACTCTAAATTCTTTACCTTCATAAACCTTATTTTAACGCTTATTACCTTTATAAACCTTACTTATGTTACAGCATATCTAAAACCCTAAAACAATTCGTTACTCTATTGCTCTACGTGTCGAAGCAATTCGTGTTTATTATTTTATTGTTATACGTATTGAAACAATTTGTATTTAGAGAAGAATAATTACTTAAAAAACGTTGATGTGGGGAGATTACTATCCTTTATTATTATTATTTGATATTGTAAATTTTTATATAACATGTTATTCCAAACGCTACAAAGGATATGTTTGTAGTAGTGAAAAG